GTGGAGACTAACAGCACATCTCTTGAGCTCTCGCTGCCTGTGGATGAGGATTACATCATCCAGATTAAACCAGTCAGTGAAGGTGGAGAAGGGAGCAGCAGCAAACAGATTACCATCCCCAGGATAGCAGGTATCAATTTATTTCTGTTTAATTAATAATGAATTCAGACCCGTTGCCAGGGGGGGTTTGGGGGGTTCGAAGGACCCAAGTCCCCCACTGACAAAGGTCCAGAATTTGCCCCATTCTTAAGCTTATTTGTCCAATCTTGACTGTTAGCCATCATAAATTATGAAAATAACTCATTCTTGAATAAAAAAAATATCAATGAAAAGGTGCAAAGCATCAATAGCGGCCCGTATTAAAGTTAATTTTAATACTAATTAGGCTTTTGTTGTTACCCATACATTTTTTATTTGATAATTTTTTTACAAGAGAGGCTGGAAAAAATTGTGAAGCTCCACGTTTTTAATATAATGTTTTGAATGTTTTTTTTATTCAAATGACCAAATTCTGACTGAGAAAAGCTAAATGTGATGGCCAGTATGTTATTTGCCTAATAAATGACACAATCGGCTACATTTTTTTTCTCAAATGATATATGATGCAATAAATTTGTGTTTTATTTATTTTTGTTTTTTATTTTTTCATGTTTCTTGATTCTTAATCTTTGCAAAATATTTTTGGTACATCAAAAATTTTGGTTTTGTTGGCCATCCAAGAAGCTAATCCAGCAAAAAAAAATAATGCTTAAAATGTCACTAAATAGAGTATTTGAAGCTCATAATTACATACAGAACGAGGCGAATAACTGCAAAAAAAGTTTACTTTTGGAGACAAAAGAACCAGCCCTTTCACCAGGCTGGCTACAGGTTTGGTACTTATGTTAAATAGTGGATATTATGTGTGACATACTGGTTTTAGGAATTCCCATAATTTTATATTTTATAGAAAATAAGTTGCAGCTGTCTACAGTATATGTCACACTGGATACTAACTGCATTGCTCTAAAACACAGATAAGTCACAATAGTGTTTAAATTGCATTAATATGTATTTTACATTTTATAATATCATTCAGAGATAAGATAATAAACTTCTCAAAACCACTCATCAATAAATAAATTTTCATTTTTATAAACATATATTTTTACTAATTCACAGATTTTTAAATCACCTTTTTGTATGTTTTTATTTTTTACAAAAGTGGCATTATTGGTTTTTGGTCGAACGAAAATTAAAATGTTTGACATCTTGCACAAAACCATTTTCCACATACAGTCATGTTTCTGTGTTCACAATTTTTCTGTGTTGTTATTGGTCAAGGTGACCGATATGAAACTTTTTATGGAGAGCTGAAAATGCTATAAGCTGCGTCCCAAATGCCACACTTTACACTCTTCTTTTATGCACAACGTACTTATTACACACTCAAATATATATATATATATATATATATATATATATATATATATATATATATATATATATTTTTTTTTTTTTTTTTTTTTTTTTTTTTGCAAAGTGGAAATTCAAACCGTTTCCCAGATGACGTTGCCAAGTTAGTGAAATAAATGTCCAAACTGCCAAATAATACCTGCCAAGAGTATAACCTCATACACCTTCGGGATGCAGTATAATCTATCTCGTAGGAGAATTTTGCTTTCACAATCCAAATAAAGTAATCTAACATCAGTGCCTGAAAGCTCTGCCCCTTCCACTTTGTTGAGTGTGGAAAGTCTAACATTCCATAATTCATTCCAACAGTTGAAGTGCATCATCCAGGTAATTAAAGTGCACTTATTCTTTTTAGAGTTTGCAGTGTGAATGCACTAGTTACATAATTTTTTACTACAAAATTGGTAGAATAGTGCATAAGTATGTGATTTAAAATGGTTAATGGATAAGTTCATCAAATGGTTTGGGCCAAAACTGGGCAGTGTGTCGAGTACTTTATTAGATTATGGGAGGACCATAATACCATATCAGAACCATATCAAAAAAATGTAAAAATCCTAATAGTAATTTTGTTACCGCTTTTTAGTTATCTTAAATATTTTGTTTCATATTCTTTTTTCTTTTCAGTGGCACATGCGATTGGATTTGCCCCAGAGAGAAAAGCACTTCCAGTGTTTGTAACACTAGTACTCCACTGTACCGTGAGGACATTCTTATGACAGATGAACTAAACTCTACAGCAACATTGGCAAGTGGATCAGCTTGTCTTTTTCCAGTGTGTTTTACAAAGCAAGACTCTTCAGAAGGAAGGTTTTTCCTCTAGCTTTTTATTAAAAGAGGAAGTTTGTTAACCTGGTTCTGATTACTGACACCAAAGCCGTGGACACTGGAGTAAGAGCTATTATAATGTCTTTTTTTTTTTTTTTTTGGATAAACAAATCATTACCAGGACCAGGAACTGGATGTTCAAGGGCATAAAATGACACTTTTGAGGATTCACATACATGGACATCTGTTTGGAGACAACAAATCCATATTCATTTACTAGACGGTTGGCAGTGGAAGACCACATGAATGCCTTTTCCATAGGTGTGGGACTTAATGGACCCATCTGAAGAAATTCCCTACTGCCATACCTCACGAACACCTTCATTATCCGAACATCACTGCATTCAATCAGCTGTCCTCAAACCAGACAGAGTTTACAGTCCCCCAGCGTTGACATGCCCCCTGTCTGTTTGAAAGACGAAGCTTATGCTGCTGGCCTTACCTATACAGTACAAGAGCTCACTGGCTGTGTCCAGCTGGTGTTTCCTTCAGTTATGCACTGAGACCTTTGTTTTGCTAGTGTGTGTGCCTCTTTAATGAGAATAAACAGTATGTAAAATATCCTCAGGACCAGAACAGCCTTAAATAGTTGTCTTGATTTATTTTCTTGTTTAATTTGTTTCATTTACAATTCCGTTGTTTGACGATGTATACCAGATATTCTTATTATTGTCATCTGCCAGCTTTTTATTTTCTGTTGGGGTGCTTTCTATAGCTGTGATTATTGAAATACCTTGGACATAATGCTTACGTTCCATTTTCAAGCTGTTTAGCATGAACTGGCTCTGTAGTGGCTTGAAATACAGTATTTGAATGGACTGCTTTTAATAAATGAAGGAACATGAGTGCTGTTCTTAAGATATTTGTCAGTTGGTCATGTTCATGTTTTCTAGTGTTAAGAAATGCACATTTAATATCAAGAAGTGAGAGGTTCTGCCTTTAAATATGCGCAATTTCATAAAAAATTTAAACAGTTCCTGTTAATTAACAAAAAGAGTCAGCATCTTAAGAAATAGTTTTAATTAAATAGCCTTTGTTGTTAATTATCTGTTCATATAATCTGTTCATTTCATGTGTTCATGTTTTAATATGGATAAGAGGGGTGGGGGGGGGGGGGGGGGGGGGATTACTCAAAAATACATCTCTCCACACTTCTTGCTTAAACTCCTTTATCTTTCAATCAACTCCTGGTCATTCCTAAATTTCTTGTCAAGGAACGCCATAATACTAAGTCCATGCTGACTGGTGAGTTGTTTGCACAGTCACCTCACAGCAAGAAAGTCACTGCTGGGTTAGTTGTCCTTTTTTGATTTTGCATGTTTTCTCTGTGTTTGCATGGGTTTCCTCCGGGTGCTCCGGTTTCCCCCACAGTTCAAAGACATGCGGTATAGGTGAATGGAATAAACTAAATTGGCTGTATTGTATGTGTGTGAATGAGAGAGTATGGATGTTTCCCAATATTGGGTTGCAGCTGGAAGGGCATTCACTGGGTAAAAAATATGCTGGATAAGTTGGTGATTCATTCCGCTGTGGCGACTCCTAATAAATAAAGAGACTAAGCCCATCATCATTTTAGTTTTCCCAGGAATGACAGGCATCTTCACTGTGGCATCTATGAGCATTTCTACCAAGAATAAGCAGAGCAGACTTGGCCGACAATCAAAGCAGCATTATGTGAAAAAAAGAGTTCTTAATTTGTGTATTAAGCAGACACTTCATGAGAGAGCACATGAGAATGGAAGTGAAGGCTGCAACTGACCCTGATAATGAAAATGTGGCAGAGAACATAGTAAATCAAATGTGATTTCAAAGACCAGTGTTCTTACCTCAGCAAAACATTCACTTGCTGCTTGCTATTAGACTTTTTCGTTTTTGTTTCTGGAAAATGTTTGCTATAGCTAGCTGGGTGATTATCAGTCAGGATGCACCGTTTTACGTAATATTTTATCCTTAATGTACCTCCATGGAGCTGTTATTAAACTGAGGAGTGAATGGCAGAAATAAGTTCTGGTTCTGGAGTAATTTGTTTGATTCCGGCTAAACCGTAGGTAACCTTATGCGTTATGTTAGTTACCTAAGATTTAAGATTCAAACGTGCAAGTAAAGACATCTAGGCTACGTCATTATTTTTTATCATAGGTGCGTGGCCCTGCTGGCCTCTGATGACGTGCGCGAAAACAACCAAGCACGAAAAACAAAAAACGGGCAAGAAAAGTAACCTGTTGATAATTTGATTTGATAATATTTTCATTTGGCTAGGCCCACTGTAGCCTACTAATCACCTTTAAAGTGAATCTGGACAGTTCCTTTCTTCAGAAAAACATCCTTCATGTATTTTGAGTTTTTATTTTAGTTTTTTTTTTAAGCTTTTCGTTGAACACCGTTGACAGCTAAAATACATTTTCTTTAATACACGTGAAACTCCTATCAAGTTGGCCAATTTTAGGACATTGTAAAACTGTACTGCCTGTTAACATATTTAGGAACAATTACACGCTTCCCTGTGCTTAAAATAAGCACTGTTAACGTTAGTGAGACGGTGCAGTACATTAAATCATTTTGAAGTAGTCATATGTTCTTCAGTTGACCACAAGAGGGCACTGCTATAAAGGCAATGCAGCATTTCTTGAAATGAAGATTATTGCTACCAAAACTATTGTACAACAATATAGAATATAAAGGTTTTTAATCTGAGATGCACAAAATATGAAACTTGATAACTTGGATGAATCGTATTTATTTCGAACACTGTACAGCAAACACACAAAACCAAGCAGTAGAAAGTAGAGAGGATAGCAGTGTAAACAGAAGTTTCTGCAGGTGGAATCTCAGGGGAGTCAATGCTAAAATATTGATTTTTTTTTAAGCTTAACTTGTTTTCCTCAAAGTTCAAATGTTAAATGCAACATGTACAGCATAAACGAGGGCATTTGTCTTGTAAAGTGACAAAACTCTGACATAGGCTTAGCAAATGAGCTGGCGAAAGAATGCTGTGGTTGACTTGACATCCAACTATCAACCTTTGCATGGCACTTCTTTTCTTTATATCCTAGGTCAGCTCCCTTGTTCTCAAAAATCAGCAACTGTACAAGTTGGAAGTAAGACATTTACAAATCCCCCTTCTGATATCTGCAGGCTGTTTTAATTTTCACATAGTGCACAGGCCTGAACAAATGCATTAGTTACACAACAACAAGCCTTGACCATGTTAGCAAAGGTTATCGAGAGCTGTCCTGGCTTTCTTTCGTCCTTACATAGAGTCTGCTAGGTTTTTCATTTGGCAATACTCACAATTCAAAGTTCATTCATCCATTCAATACTAGAACACATACACGTCCTGTCTCATCCAGGATTTCTACCGCTTTCACAGAGGAAGGTTTGTAAAGAGATTCATGGCTCAAGGGTCACGCTTCACTGAAAACCACAGGCTCATGACATTTACACATAAAAAGTTCTCATATCTAACAAATCCATTTTTTTTAAATCATTAGTTCGTTGGCACAGCATTGTGCGGGAAGGAACAGTTTAAAAAAAAACAAATCACAGAAGTTTTAAAAACATACAGAGCAGTAGGGAATTTGCTATAAGTACCAGCTTGTTGGAAAATAATTCAAAATTATTATTTTTTGCAATCCTTTTAAAAATGATTATTTTTTTCTTCTTCTTCAAATGCTTAAACTCTAAACGCACATGCACATAACATTGATTATTTATGTATCATGTCAGCATGTACTAAATTCAAATTAGGTTTGGTTTCTTTGGACTTCAAATAATTTTTCACAGTTTAACGATATGCGCAGAAGATGAAATAGAGCATTCAACAAGCAAACATGTTACTTTTTGTATCGTGCATTTCATACTTGGGGATATTTTAATTCTAAAATCTAAACTTGAATACTAAAGGTACTTTGAAAAAGGTTGTACTGAAAATAGGTGTATTTTCTTTGTTTGTGATATCTACTAGGCTGATGCAAGTGTTCCCGGAATAACTGAAAACACATTCTGGATATCTGTAAAAGTAATAAAAGAACAGGTTTTCGGGAGGTAAATGTGCAAGTCGACTACTTCCATATTATGTTTAATGCGGAAATGAAGTACTTATAAGAGGACAGTCAAATGTTTTGGCAACCATACATTAATACAGTCTCGTTTTGCTAGGGTCCTAAACCAGGTTATAGGTTATAGTTAGTTGTATGAAATACGAAAATTATTTTAAACCCTGCTTTGTCACATGCAGATGATGGTTCAGAATTGAACAGCAACATAATCTGTTGATTTGAGAAGCACGACATACTGTATGCACACTAGCTAGGCTTTCCCTACAGTTCAGTGTTTGCAAAAAAGATCTTCTGTTTTTATATCTCAATGAACCCTAGAAAAAAACTACTCAATAGACACTACTGTCACTCCACTAAGCTAATTCAGCACGTTCATCAAAAAGCCCTATGCCTCATGCTTGATGTTAGCATCGGGCTGTTGATAGTACGCTTGGTTAGTTTTCACATGTGTGAAGAAAAAGCAAGAGACTACAATGGCGGCTAAGTCGTCTGATCGATGTGATGCTGAGTCCGTCCCTCCAAAGCGGTCCTCTGGGAGGAAGACCGTGTGCCTCCTGGTCCATATTACCACAGCAAATGTAGACACGAAATAGAAATTACATGAGCAGGAATAGGTTCCGACGTCTGGGAGGCAGCATGTGTTTGTGTGCATGTGTAAATGTTAGTGTTGTGTATGTAAGTGGAAGCAAGAAGCTTAATATTAGAGGTCTGTAGATGTTTGGAGACCCACTGGCAGTCATTGAGGAAAAGTTGATTCTCGATGAAGTCCTGAGAAGTGAGGAGATCAGGACTGTTGGAAAATTAAAAACACAAATCAGCAAACCATGTAACACCTCCATTTATTAAAGTATATTTTGAAGATCCACTTAGTTGGCAATGGAATAATGTGGAAAACAATATCGTTTATTAATTATATTTGATAAGTGTGCATTTTGTAGCTAAATGAAAGCATGTTTGTCAATGCCATCCACCTAGAGTTAGCATGCGGCACTGACTGAACTGCTTTTGACATGTCATTACACCCTTGTCAAACTGCTATAAACCAGCCGGCTCGATATGACAGATAAACCATAATATGCATTTTGGAAATGGATGGATTAATTGTGCGTGCAGGGGTTGCTGGTGACAAATACCTTCGATTCCTCATGTGGATCTTGCGTGGAAGATTCTGTTTCCCTGACAACTACAGCCTTGGTTACCAACATGTCAGGGTGCTGTTGCTTGGCTTCTTTTATTGCCATGGCGAGCGCCTGTGAAAAAGTCATTTGTTTTTAAGTTAAATGAGAGAGGGGGAAACAAGCAGCTAATGTATTAGTAATATGCTTTCTGACTAATTAATTTGCACTTTAAAGTTGGCATGAAACAGAAATTGTTTTCATGTTTTCTTTCCTGTTGTGAAATGGCTTCTTGGTTTAGAAAAGAAATATGATGATGCAAGTTTGTTCATGAGGAACTGATTGTCATTAGCTAATTGCCATAATCTCGCGATGGACCAATTGCTGACAAGAGATTTTGTTGCAAGGGGAGGAGACATTTTTGAAGATTCCGATCAAAGACTTTAGAATACAAAAGATGTGTTACTTATAGTTTTGAATTAGGAAAATTGTAACTGTACTATAGGCGAGGCGTTATTCGCCATATTGACTGTTGTGCACTTGAAAACAAAACGTTTTTTACTTTAGTAATCTGTATGAAATTAACACAAGGTACAATCAGTCCTGTCAAATGAACATCACATGACAGCAATTGCACAAAAACGGCCATAAAAACCTGTAAACAAAGAGTGGCTGTCACTTCTGAAGAAGATTCGCCATCAAGACCAAGTTGTAAATTACTTCAGAAGAGCAGATGATCATTATTCAGAGATTGATAATGTGTAGAATGGTCATAGGTGAAGTTGGTGTGGTGATCTTGTTCCTTTTAAGAGCGCATTAGCTTGGGCAACCTAAAAATATGCTGATTCTGTTTGAACGTTTAGAAACTAAACTTATAAAACGGTTGTTGTTTAACTTTATTGGTGATTCTTAATCAAAATGTAATCGAAAGCTTGGCAAAGTTTAGTAGAATATGATGTTTCCTCATTCAGACAGAATGCCCGAGTATACTGCCCCAGAGATGTTTCAGGGCCTACTCACACTATGCCATCCGTACCATGCCCAGGCCCATTTCCCGGATCATTTGAGAAGTGTAAGTGCGCTGAATCGGACTCAAGCACAGTTCACTTGGCCGGCCCTGGCCCGGTTGGAAGAGGTGGACCTGAGCGCGGTTCACTTGGGCTCACAGCTCGAAACTGAAAGCGAGATGTGACTTTTAAGGGAATGTTTCATATGGATTTATTAATCATTCTTACTGTTCAGTGAACGCAAACTGCCTTAGCTAATTAAATACGCAAACCCCTCACTGCACGACAGCTGCGCGCCTTCAGCAGACCTTTTCATTTCTGCAGCACGAAAGCTTTATGTTTGTTTATGAGCAACAAAAGTGGTGGATCTGTTCGCCGAAATATTTGACTGCGTGTCACCGCATCCCTAAGGACTGTTTGGCGAAAATATTTGACTGCATGTCACTGCATATCAAACCGACAGAAACGATATAACTAGAGAAATCTCCACTGTGCTGCTAAGTGACAGCGCTTCCCACTGAACAGCACAGCATCGATGACATAAGCATGCCCAGGCCCGATTGTGGTGTGAGTGCGGGCCGTCGGGGGAGACGAGAGGGGGGACAAGCGTGCTTTGGCCCGGTTCGAGGCAACTGTACCTAGTGTAAGTACGGCCTCAAAGTTGGCCGCCACGTAAAATTACTTGTCTTAAAGGGATTTGTTACGATGCAAATTGGCATACATTTTTTACAATTGTCAATTTTGATTTCATTTGAAATTTACAGGGTTATCTTACTGAAAATGAAATGAAATTTTAATGTCATAAATTATCTCATGTATTTACAAATGCCACAAAGCTTTTGTTTATCTTCAGAACACACGTCAAGATATTCATAGTAAATAAAAAAAAAAAAAAACCTCAAAGATTTTTTTTTTATTACGCAGACTTTTCAGTCTATCCACTGAAATTGTGCGTAATCAAAACTTTTAAGCCCCAAAAAAGTTAACGAATGTGAATTTGCCGAAAAGTTTCTTTTAAATCCAGCTTCATGTATACACTATGGGATTTTAGTTTTCAGTTTTCTCGTAAAAATAAGAAATGCCAGTGTCTAAAATACCATTTACAACAGGAATAAGAAATCCTCTTATGCATGATCTTATTTCCTGTATCACTTTTTTCAAGCAGCTGCTGGTGATTCTTTCTATGAAATGTGTAATGTGCCTTGTCGCCAATCTGTGTGCACATAACAGCAATTAAATTATACCCCAGACAGTCGAGTTCAGGAGAAGAAAAGAAGAACCGACGACTTAGAAAGCAAGACAGCATGTTCCTTGCAATATCACTGCATGTGCACTGTTCATGTGAAATCAAAAATGTTGACTAACCATTTCATTTATGATTAAATCACATGTGACCCTGGACCACAAAACCAGTCATGAGTGGTTTTTGTGAGTGGTCAATTTTTGAAAAAAAAAAAAAAAAAAAAAAAAAAATATATATATATATATATATATATATATATATATATATATATATATATATATATATATCAAATCTGAAAAAAAAAAGTTTTCCATTTATGTATGGTTTGTTAGGATAGGACAATTTTTTAAAGATAAAACTATTTCATAATCTAGAATCTGAGGGTTTAGAAAAACTAAATACTGAGAAAATTGCCTTTAAAGGGGTCCAGATTGAGTTCTTAGTAATGCATATTTCTAACCAAAATTCTTTTATTCATTAATTTTCCTTCGGCTTCGTCTCTAATTTAGAGGTTGCCACAGCAGATTGAACTGCCAACTATTCAATGTTTTATGCAGCGGATGCCATTCCATCTGCAACCCAGTACTTGGAAACGCCTATACACTCTTACATCTATACACAAACTCATGCATTACGGCCAACTTAGTTTATTCAATTCACTTATACTGCATGTATTTGGACTGTGGGGGAAATTGGAGTAGCCAGAGGAAACCCACACGAACATGAGGAGAACATGCAAACTTCACACAGAATTGCAAGCTGGCCCAGTCAGGGCGTGAATTAGAAACCTTCTTGCAGTGAGGCAACATTTCTAACCACTGAGCCACTGTGCTGCACTCTAGCTAAAATAAAAATTTGCAAAATGTTTTAAAATCAAGTTGTTCTTTACTTAACATTTTAAAGAGTTTTGTCATAAATTAAAAATCAATAATTTATACTTGTACTATACTGTATATTTTTAACCATTCCCACAACAATACCCAAGCAAGAGTAGGTTGGGTTTGTGGTCCAGAGTCATGATAGTTCTCTCCAAAACTATTTAAAAATATATACAGATGTAGTTCCTTTATCACCTACCTGATCTTGATCAACATCATCATCACCAGTAATGATGATCCTCTTTTCAATTCTTGTCTCTGAGTAGCCTCCTTTCACCGTCTACAAAACAAGAAGAAATAAAATATGTACATTTTCAATTCTTTAAAAAGTTTAATCTAAACGAGGGGCTTACAAAGGAAACTGGTTTCACATACCTTAGTAACATGAGTTGTAGTGGCAGATGTTACATTCTCAGTAACCATTAGTGGAGAACCATCTCTAGCTAATGATCCCAAGTTCACCTGGACAAAAAGGTATTGAAATAAACACTTGTAAAGGCATGACAACTGCAATATGGTAGGTACGTTTGCAATGCAGTTTATGTGAAGCACATTCTTGAAATAAGTTGGGAAACAAACAAAAAGAAGGACAAAAGACTCAAGTTCACCCGATGAAAGGATTGACATACAGGAGAGACTCTCTCTGTCATAGAGTACGCAGCTTCTCGCATACCGCTGATACCATGGTCCTACGAGAGAAGTTATCAAGATACTGTAAGATCCTCTACAGTGCATGGAAGTAATAAAATAAAGTAAGGACACTTACTGTAGATAAGGAATAAATGATAATTGACTTAATTACAATCTTTAAAGCATGTCCCTCTAATTTAGGGATGGCAACTTTGGTTCTGGAGGGCCATTATCCTGCAGAGTTTTGCCCCAGCACTAATCAAACAAACTTGAACCAGCTTATCAATGTTTTCAAGATCACTAGAAAGCTACTTTATACAGGCAGGTATGTCTGATTAGGATTGGAGCTTAACTCCGCAGGATAGTGGCACACGAGGGCCAAAATCTGCTGTAGTTGAACCTGTCACATAGTGACACTTCCCCGGTAAAGTACATTTGATGAGCTAAAAGGTCTTTACCGGGTCTGCAATCTCCATTATGGTTGTGGTGACCTCTGAGCCATTGGGCTGCGTCTCGATCTTGACCTCAGTCTTCCTTAGAGCCTGGGAGGCAATGATTTCACTGCTCTCTCTGCTGAGAGGGTGGATTGGGGGTGATTCAGAGCTCTCCCGTCTCATCGACTGGGCATTAGCTTGTTCTGTAGAGTCTTTTCTTAGGGCCTGTGCAGCTTTCACCGACCGTGGAGCTTTCTTGGGTACAAAAGGCTTGAGAAAGAAATGAAACAGATCAAGTGAAAACCTGGGAGTGATCATGAGATATAAGGAACACAATGCCAATCAAATGAACTTGGCAGCATATGGTGAGTCATGGTTCAAAAGAAAAGAATAAGAAGCAATGAAAAAATGTAACAAAATTCTGAAATCAAAGAAACCAAACCTGAACTGACTGACTGAACTATGGAGAGCAGCATCAAATGGAATGGAATTAGCATCAATCATGAACTCAAATTCCAATGTAATTTCATGCTTTGGTTCTGATGCCCTGTAGAACGCGAGAAAAATGGGACGTGATTGCATTCATCAACACATTTATTGTGACCAGTGATTGGAAGAGTCAGTTACTTTGCTGAAAGCACTATTATACTTGTCTACCTCCGGTTTACGTTCCTCCGGTGGCTTCGGTTCTACAACAGGCTTTGGTTTCTCTACGGGCCTCTGTACTTCTACATGTCTTTCCTCAGGAAGGTAGATGGGATCTGCTCCCAGTATAAAGGCTGGATGTGTGGGACGGTCTGAGAGGCCAAAATCAGGCGAGTAGTCTTTCTCTCCAAGCTCAGTCATGCCTCTAGAAAATTCCTCCATACCAGTTTGGAAGTCCATGAGCACAGTGAAGTCCACCTCAGCTTCCAGACTGGACGTTGAGCTAACAGTGATGCTTGAGCATTTTCGCTCAATTCCCAGGTGGGTCTCCTTTAGGTACAGAGTGTCTGGGTCAGGGTCATCTTCTGAAACCGATCCCAAGCGTCTCTCCCAGGGCTCTCTCTGAAGAAGAAGAAATAGAGATCTTGGTGCAAGGAACCAGCTGTGCTACAAGAGCATATGTTGACTGACAAACAGGTAAAACAAGGCAATAAATGGATGTTACATCTTCTTCACAAGACAAGAATGAGACACATTGTGGTGACTGATGGTTAACAGGTCTAGTAGGGATGCAGGGGTTAGTTCAACTCAAAAGACTTACTAAAATGTCAAAAGTTACGTGTCTCTGAGGAAAAAAACTGAGACAATTTTAAGCTGATAGATTTTTTTTTTTATCCTAGTGTAGAATACTGCATGTTGTAGATCATATATTATTTATCCATAGCATCCACAGGAGTTTATAGCTTTTTTTTTTTTTACGCCTGCATGTAAATTCAAGTGTGCCAAGGAATCAGTGCATGAGATGGATTCGTTAAATGACATTTGTAGGACGAATTGGATCATGCAATTAATGTCATGCTGTGATGATGAAAGCAAAAGGTAAATTGTAAAAATGCCTATGTTTACGAAAATGTCAATGCCAAAGCTTTTGGTTAGCAAGAAGGTAGCAGTGACTGAGATGAGTGGAAAAATGAGGCACCTGGGCTTCCTCCTGAGGCTCCGCATGAATTGCTGGAGTGGAAAGGGGCTCCTGAAATGTGAGATGAAATAATAGGAAGAGCAATGCAAAGTTAGTGCACTGAAATTTGAGATAACAGGGAAGGAGCCAAGACTAGGCCCTGAACCAACAACCAGACATATATAAAGGACCAAATATACTGACTGACACAGATATAAATGAGAAGTCCTAAACAGTGCGAACTACAGCATACAGCATAATGCACCACAACTATTTTTAGTAAAACTATATTAGAGCTGGGTGCAATTGTTTACCACAAAAGAGCCATATAATCATTGACACTAATTATATTTATATTTGACATCACTAATATCCTAAGAGAAGTTTTACAAGGGTGGTTTTGCTGTCAGAATAGTTTTTTAAGCTTGTTTTAATTAATTTCTTTCAATGTGTAAAATAAAAAAAGTATTTGATTTGACAACAGCAGTTATCTACAGGTATAAATATCGTAGCTCAGTGGGCTTTCGCATCCCTCAAGGTTCCCTGTAGTTTGTTGCAAAATAAATAATTTATATTTTTTCCAAGTCAAACAATAAATTCAGAATCCTTATGAATGAAGATGGGTATTTTATCCTGTAAATAGTAAGCTAAAACCATTCCTTGTTAAATCAACTTTCAGAGCCCTTCTCATGAACAATACCATGGCCATTTTTGAACGTCTTGCAGATTTTTGTTTGCAAAAATGGCATTTAAGCATAACAGTATGGTGCACAGGCCTAATGATTCCTTGCAACAACCATTCCCTACATGCCTGGTAAGAAGGAACCAGAGAAAGAATGTTGGAAGGAAGGACCGCACGTCAAGTGGAAAGTTAGTGTAACAGAAGCCTGAAGCTTAAGCAATGGAGATTATGTGGAAGATCCTAAGTGTATCTCAAATGCGCAAGCAGATGTTGAGCTGTGCAGAGGAAGGAGAGGAAAAGGAAGTGGCACGTCCTCATCCAATCAGACAGCAGTTATATTAAAGTCACACTATTAGTCAATGCTAAGATTAGATAAAAAAAAAAAACTAACTTTAATCTCTCCTCAGAAACAGGTTGCTTATGTTTTACTGGCATGTGCATTATGCAAAACTATAGATATGGATGTGCCGTTTCATGCGATGCTTTAGTTCCTGTGAGTGACAAGCAGATTATCAAGCAGTTGTTACCACTGATTTCCTCTTGGAAGATTCCATGGCGGAGCTCTTGTGAAGACTGTTGCCAGAATCACTTTTGGTGATTGGTTTGGTACGTGTTTCTCTTGCTCTCTGGGATTTTACAGGTGGGTATAAAGGGGCAATCTGGTCAAAGGCTGGAAACGTTGAATTGGTGGGAAAGTCAAACATAAAGAGTGGATCGTCAAAAAGGAACTGATCTTGTTCAATGCTTAGTCTGTGGTCTATGTTGTTCTTGAGATCCCTTAATTGGGGCCTGTCTTGGACAGACTGACGGATATATTCTCTGGTTTCCCAATTGTGATAATTACTTGCCCAGTCTTGTTTGGCAAAAGTTCCAATGCTTTCTAAAGTTGCAGAATTTTTGGACTGTGACAAGGTGTCCAGGGCATTCTCAAAAACTACTTGATCTTCCTTAGAATTGATGCCTTCACTTTCATCAAATGATCCTGAAATACTTCTCTCACTTGGTTGTCCTTGCAGCTTTGCTCCTTTTCTGTCTTTCAACTTCTTCGACCTCTCAGGCTTCAATGGGACAATTCGCTTTAACTCAGATTGTGATGTGTCACTTGCAGTCGAATCGTGTCTCTGGATTGTTGAGCCTTTGCCCTTAGGATCTGCCTTGGATGTTTGTTTCAGTAATGTAGCTCTGGTGTTCTCTGGTTCTTTTTCATAGGATTGTCTCTCACATCTGCTTTCATTATATCGATCTCTCATATATTTGTCCATAGCTGCATTTGGAGAAGCCTCTCCAAAGCTCCTCTCTACGTACCTTGCCAAGTCTTGATTTGTGGTCTCATGTTCTATGTTGGTTACCCCCATGTACTTTTTGTCACCCCAAAGTCTTTCTGTTGCATATGTATCACATCCATTTGTATGAATGACATTCTCTGACAAAGGTCTGTCATGTGAGTGTCCATTATCATAAGCTTTCTCATCCAAAGAATTGATTCCTTGGAAATGGTTGTACCTTAAAGCTGGGCTTTTGGCACGATTTCTCAGGGGCTTCTCTGGTGATAGGATGTTTTCTGTTGAGGTCCTTTTTGCTACACTGATGATGTTTTTTTCTCTCACTCTGTCATCTGTCTCTCTGTTGAATCCAGTGGCTAATGAAGCTACTCTAGGACTCCTGCTCTTTTCGTCTTTTTTACTGAGGGGCAGGTCTCTTTGACAACCATCTTGCTTCTCAATCAATAGGGACTCCTCTGAGGCCTATATATCAATAGAGTGAATACAATTTCAATGGCCTGTCAGTGCCAACACACCCTCTATGGTTACTTATATAACTGACATAATGCCTATATTTGCAATATGAATCTGAAAAATCTAATGATGCAAAATAAGATCTTAATGACCTGTGAAGGTAAAGAATGATCTCAAGTTGAATTTTATGTAAAATGTTGTATGGATGTTTTGAAGGTAAATAAAAAAGAGAGACAGTAATGTACTTAAGTACTTAAAATGCCATTTGCTTTTATTATCAAGCAATATCATTGTCTTTATAACACTAATTAAGGAAAATGCATTCATGCTGTGTTCAAATAAACCACTTCATACAGATTCTATTAAAGTTCAAACTGCTGCTAGCTCTTGACCCAGAGGCATGACATGAAATGGTTCAACAGCATCCACTTAAAGAGAGATTAGTCACATAAAAAAGAGGGCATGAATAACAAATCAAGCATTTGGCACACTAAATCTGAGACTGGTGCTGACACAAATCTGAATAATCCTCGTTGCGAATCTTAAAACAGTATCAGACCGAAATAAACTAATCACATAGCATCTGTTTTTGGGTTTTTGAAGTCACCACAAAATACTTCCCCTTGCTGGTACCAATTACTCACAGATTTTTTCTCCGGAGTGCTACCAGATGAGGCTCCAGAGAGACGTTTTTCTCTGTGGACCAGTTTGCTGTTGGGCTCCCTCAGCGCTCTTTTCAGCTCATTGATGCTGGCTTGATGTTTCTGCAACACATCCTCTGGTTTATCCAGGAACTGCTATAAAACAAACAAGTCAATCGGTAGAACCACTTACCTCAAGTGAATTACTTAAGTGAAAGCTGTCCGGTGACCTTCACAGCTGTTTACAAATGTTATCTAACTGTGGTACATAATAAGTACATGAATGCAAACATATGCCCTTGAGAATCATTGGTTGAGTTCTATTCTTTTACCAGAATTAGTCCCAAAGTTAGAATTGCATGTTGAAATGATTAAAAACTTCAATAAGCCAACATCAAATGCCACTAAAGTGTATCAAGTGATCTGTTTGATTAGTTTGCATTGCACATTATTCCTCTTTACCTAACTAAGTCTAACACTTTGAAATACTGTGTAAACACTGTAATGCAGATTTTAGTAAATTAAACATATCCAGATCCAGTTTGCACACTCTTCTTTATGCCATAAAGAATCACTACATATTTTTATCAACAAAACAAAGCTGCACATAAAACATGAAACATGCTGGTGTAGATAACAGATGTCAGATGGACTGCCATCTTGGGTCAAGTTACTTCAACTAGAAGACAATTAAAAAAAACGAGAGAGAAACTAAAACACAGAGAGTGACGGCTCAGGCAGTTGATGAGAAACAGTACCTCCTGTTTAGGACGTGGGGTCAAGTCCTGGTCCAACTGGGATAAAGGGGTGGTGAGGGGAAGGGTATGGTGGTGCAAGCCGAGGAACGGAGGCAAAGTGTGGTAGTGGAGACAGAGAGGCAGAGCATGGGTGAATTTATAAAGCAGGCAGCCAAACAGAGAGAGGAACTGTCATACAGACGCTGATGTTAGCCATGGAAGTACAAAGAGTGAAAGTTTGTGTCACTGCCTAGGATACACTGTTTTAAAAGTTTTAATAGCCACATAAACATTGAGGATCATGGCATACTGTATCAAGTTCAGTGACACAAATCTCTTGAGCTGTCTCTTATTCATACAGGTCTTATGAGGTGCAGACTGGCATGTACTGGAAATAGTTTTTTAGCAATGTAAACATTACACCAATGACATCCCTAATCACTACAAAACCTCTACAGCACAAATCAACTAATTACGTGGTAAGATGAGACAAATCGTCCCGTTTACCGAAAACATCTAATTATTGTCATTGATGTATGCATGCTAGTGATTGAGACCCAACATATTTTAAAAGTTAAAACAAAATGGCAGGAGTTTAACTTTAATTTTGTGTCATATTTCAGAATGAAACTGATATTTATTAAAAAAGAAATATAGGGCATGACCTATTACTTCGTATATATTTGTCTATCCTTTATTGTTTTAATGTTAATTTTATTATGTTATCTAAAACTAAATAAATACAATTTTCAGTAAAATAAATGTTAAAAATATGTGAGTACTTGGCTGTTTTAGTTTCCCTTAACTTCAGAAGTGGATGAAGTTATTCAATTTTACATAAAATTACAAACATTGTTTTGCAATAATATGCACTAATCAATCACACACAATATGAACAGGAAAATGTATTTTAAAAATACAAAAATGGCAGTGATTTCTTATTGATTTTTAGTCTAGAACAAAACAAATGAAGATAATTAACATTTTTCTTTTAAATAGTTAACAAATAACCATTATCCCAAGATGGCCTTATCTCGCTTCAAACAATAGTGTCATTTGAATCTCAAGAAGAGTCACAAAGGCTGAAAAACTACATGATCTGCCTTGTGGCTTACAGCATATCACACTGCTATTTTTTGCACTCTAAAGCCATGCTAGCAGTGTGTATGCAGATTTAGAGTGCAACTGAGACAATGACAGACAGACAATTAGACACAGATAAGTCACACTAAAAATACCTCTGTCTTAGAGTCTACAGGAGAACCTGCCTCCTCCCTCTGTCCGCGAGAAGATGAAAAGAGAAGCGATAGTTAGAGGACAGCAGTGAAGCGTTAGAAGCACGGGGAAAAGTGCAGAATCTGAATTAGACTGAGGAAATTAGCAATTGGAGAGGAGGGGAGGTTTGCAAAGAGGTTGAAAAGTTAAATTCAAAAGACATGTTAACAAAACAAGCAGACGTAGAAATATTTTTGAAATTTAGTCAGAGGCAGAAAAGAAAAGCAAAAGTAGGAAAAGGTCTTGGAGTATGAGACGGTATTAATTAGAAGACGGCAAGGGAGGTGTTAATTAAATAATGTCAGTGGGTCTAGTAGTTTAAATATGCTAGGAAGAACATTTACACAATTTCCACCAATACATTATGAACTTCATATAAATTAAAATGGCTTGTTTCCCACGGAATACCTTCAAAAATTATAAGAAAAGGAAAAACACAACTAAATGAAGACATTAAACACCACTGTGGGCACAGAACCTTGAGCTCCACCGTTTTAGAGGGAGTGGAGTCACTCTCTAGTCGCTGTTCTTCTTCTTGTTCATGATCTTGGTCCAGGTCCTGATCTAGACTGGGCTCTAGGTAGTCCTGGTCCAGCTCATCTCTAGGAAGACTAGGCACAGGCTCACTGGAAGTGTGCTGAGAGAGTCGGTCCATGGTGTCCCCTAAAGCAGACTCTAAAAAAAATGAAAAGCAGCAACCATGTAGAGCACAGATGTCAAACTCTGTTCCTGGAGGGCCAAAGCTCTGCACAGTTCAGCTTTAATTAAACAGACCTGATCAAACTAAATTGAGTCCTTCAAGGCTGTTTGAAACCTACAGGTAAGGGTGGTTAAGCAGGGTTAGCACTAAACTTTGCAGGGCTTTGACACTTCAGGCAATAATATCCAGACCTGCAGAACCACACACATTTTACAACGAATGTTAATGTTATTAAGATATTCTCTGACAACGTCATCAATTTATATATATATATTTATATATATATATATATATATATATATATATATATATATATATATATATATATATATATATATATATATATAAATATATATATATATAGCCAATAAATAGCTCAATAATCAATAGTGTATACTATTTCACAAATATGGCGATAGAGACGTGCGAATGGGGAACATTGTTTCCGATTGCCATTTAATATAATAGACTAAACAGTTTTCTATCAGTCATCATAGATGATCATTCATTATTATCTGATAGAGTCAATAGCAGATACTCCTTTGAAGGCATTGCTAACGCATTTTCAGAGATATATCAACAATTTAAATTGGACAGAATTATTTTAAATAAAATGCATTCATTATAGTGAAGGAAATAATAGCAAATATGTATAGACCATTTTAAGGCGTGTAAACAAAAACAATGGTCCCAACGTATTTCCTTTTTTACCTTTTTAATTTTTATAGCTTCTGAGAATCCAAAAAGAGCCACGTGTTTTTAAAAAACGTTATGAGAGCTTTTTTAACATTAAGTTATGATTGACAAATAGTTACAAATAGTTTGATAACAAGCAGGAAATGTTCATGGACCAATAATATCACCAAATTGAAATGGTACATTTAATAAATGTCTAACACTAAATTAATCTTTTACTCCATCAATTTAATAGCATTTTATTTGCTTAAATTTGTACAAACTTTTTTATTAATGATTTCCCACATTAAGTACTGTAGCAATTTATAGTAAGTAATATATTGTTTTTATGTTGTTATATGGTGTTTTTAAACAAAAGGGTACTGGTAATTTGTGGTAATTATAGTTGCAACAAATATAGCAATTAGCACTGTCAAAATTAGTGCGTTAACGCATGCGATTAATTTTAAATAATAAACGTGTTAAAAATTTTTCCGCAATTAACGTAGTTGCAGGGTTTTTTTTTTTACTTCCTGTTTTGGTGGACGTGTGTTCAACATGCAAGAAATGTGGATAAGACCAAGGAAACACTTTTTTAAGGCAAGTTTCAGTATAAAACAATTAGTTGCATCACAGGTTCTCCAGAGTTTCAAGCAATTTCGGGTGTTTCATTTTTAACTTTCGACTTCTGTTGTAAGTTGATACCGCATGGCGAACAGAAAGAAAATCCTCCACATTTCGTGACTCGGTGTTCCTTTAAGGTAATAAAATCGCTGCTTAGGCTACATGGTAGACTTTTAATAAGAGTATAATCATATTATATTAATCATAATCATATTAAAGTCGAGTATTGGTGTCTGATGTAAATGTACTCAGAAAGTCTCTGGTGAAGTCGCGAGCTGTCAAAGACAGGGCATTACTCTGCCTTTCAGCATGAGCCCTCCAAGTTTATCGTGTTTCCTCATTAAACACAACGAAAGCATATGCTTCGCGTTGTTGTGTCAGAATCCATGTGAAATACAGTAATACTTTAGAATGCTTAGTTTAAGCAAATTTGATGAACGCGATCAAGCTGAAAGGAGTCGCTCCAGCGCGTTGTGTGTCTGTCTTTGTGTCTGTGTCAGGCTCGTTGAGGGGTGTCAGGGGTGGAGTGAGAGACGTATCTGAGAAGGGGTGTGTGCGCGCGAGACGTACCTGAAGGACGGTGGGGGGTGACTTGCGCGCGACATACCTGAAGAGCTAGGAGGGATGCTGTGGAGAGGGGTGTGCAATGTATATAACGACGGGTTTGCGAGAGATTATCATTCATTTGCGGGCATCCGGGAGTCTCTGTGCATTTGCGGGATACTCCTAGTCTTCGCAACTGGATGAATGTAAAGGAGGATTAGGCAAAATTGTTTCTACTTTATAATTAATGTTCTCAACTCACAGAAATACAACTTTACAATGAGTGCAACTGTTTGTATTCAATAGTTTATTATTATAATTTTCCATTTTCCATATCTGTATACATCTGCCTGTATTTTGGCATTTTTTTGCAGTCCACTTAGAATCCAACATGGAAATCAATGTTTTTTTATTGGCATTGATTGTTTTTTGTAATAAATTATATTTTGAATGTAAATAGTTTTTGTCTTGCGTTAACATTAGTTTTACATTTGAATAGCCAAAATTACAAGTTTCAGTATTTTAAATACGATTAATCGCGATTAATCACGATCTCTGAAGGGTGTCAAATAAACATTAAAGAGCCGAGCCTCCCTATACGCAACCCATACCGCCGAACCTCAAAGGGAAATACATATAACCCCTTGCTCTTAAATTTGAGTCTGTTCTGTGCTTTCTCTTTATTTAGGCATGAAAACACTTAGAAATAAACATAAAAACGGCGCGATTCCCTTCCTTTTCATTACAAGTGTCGTCTCCCATTCATATGCAATCCTCAAAACAGTCATATAGAGGTGCATGACTGTCAGCTGACGCGCTCCATATTGATAAATAGACACTGTTTCCCAAAACGGATTCTGTACTCATGATTTGAAACGGAGCAAAACTGTGGGATTTAGGTGCGTGTTTAAAAAGACATATACACATAATTAATAATATTAATATCTAAAGATGTTGATCTTAGTGAGTTTTTTTTTTTTTCAAATACAAGTAATTTTGTCCTAAATGAGCATAAACAGGAAAGCAGTCGAATGCTTTCATTTCAATGTTAGATGTGTGCATTTTTAAAGTGACACCTATTATTTAATGTAATCAAACAAAAAATCTAAATAAATCATTCATTCGTTGCTCTTTAATCAGAATGTGTATGTTATACAGTGAAGATACGGCTAATGCGATTTGATTCTATTTTATTACAATAGCTATTCGTTTTAATAAGCTGAACTGTTTGCTAATATATTTGCTGCTTATGTATACTATTTATTTTTTATTTTGTAAATAATAATAATAATAATAAAACATATTACTGACCATGTAACTGTTTATTTACAATGAAACAGCTCTAACTTAGCATATTTAGTAAATGGGGATTTTTTTAAGGGGGTCGGGGGAATCCCTTATTATGGTGGGCATATCCCTTATTTTTACATACCAATGTTGACAGGTATGAACTATATAATTTTAAATTAATTATTAACTATAGTAATTCATTTTAATGTCACACATTATCGTTTGTTTTTTTTTTTTTTTGTTTATTTTACTACAAAACGATTTTAACAATGACAAGATTAAGATTCTGAACTAGCTCATTACAATTAATCCTACTATAAGACAGTCTGTTATGTTTTCTTTGTGTATGTGAATATGTGAATAAAGTGTTTAACTAATTATTTTATGTACATTATTTGAGTTTCAAAACTGCACAGATGTTAAAATGATTGTTACAATAATGAAATAATGACTGAAATAGGAAACCCTAAACAGTCAACACTCTTGAATGCCATATTTGTGAAATTCAGTAGGTGGTGATAATGCTCCAAGGCAGTTAGTAGTCATTAAACAAGAAAAAAAAAATAATAAAAGACTAATCTTTCATTATTCATTCATGGTTTGCCTAGATTGTGTGTGCTACATTGTGTGTGCGCCTGAAATGTGTGTGGTTCTGCGGGCCTGCAGCTGAATATATCTCAGGAACAGATTTTGACACACCTAAGGTCGAGCAATCATCCCAATCAGGGTAAACATTTTATTTGCAGATACACATTCCTCCCCTGTTACACTAAACTGAACTAAATGACCTGAAAAATATACTTTGCATCCAAAAGATGTCAAAAAAGCACAACGTTGGACAAATTTTTAAAAAGATTAAACATCTATTGTCAATTCTCAATAGTCCCCTAACATCTGTAAGCCTGACAAGATAAACCTACAGTACATGGAGATTTTTTTTTGTGTTGTCACATGAAACTCCCAGTCGCACCTACAGTAATCCAGTTGAAACAGCTAGACATTCAAGAGTTCACACTTAGCTGATGATCGATTTGGCTAGTTTGGCATGATGTGGGTGGGCTCCCACTTGTTGCAGGGTGAAAGGAGAGATTGAGCTCAGATAAACCACAATAACTCCCCCGCTTATTTGTGGTTGATAATGAATTGCTTTACGAGGAAAAATACTATTGGCAAGGAACTTGACTATCGTGCCAATTTGGTTTAGTCAGTTTACTTTTAGATTAGATTAGATTAGATTAGATTCAACTTTATTGTCATAACACATGTACAAGTACAAAGCAACGAAATGCAGTTTACTTATGATGCATTTCTTTGGACGGTGGGATGAAATCAGGGAACCCAGGGGAAACCCCCGTAAATATGGGGAGAACATGCAAACTCTCCACAGAAACGCCAACCGGCCTGGCAAGCACTGGAATTAGTGATTTTTTTTTTTTTGTTTCCGTGTGGCAACAGTGCTAACCACTGGGTCACCATGCTGCCCAAACTAGGAAAAAAGGGGGAGGAATAGGGTAGGACGGTGGATTGTTCAAGACCAAGATGACTGTTGTATGAAGACTATGGTTATGTATAGTGACTTAGGAATCATCTGATTGGGGATCATGTACTGTATAAGTTAATGTGGGTCCAGCTATGATCAATCATAAGCATGCGATCCTCTCTAAATTAATTTATAAATAAACTTTTTTAATATTAAAATTTAATTGAAATGTAAATTTAATGGTTGTGAAATTTCTGTGAGCAATGGTATATGTAACTGCACCTCAACACCACAAATCTGGGATCTTGGACATATCAAATTTAGGCACTGGAAATAATGTTCTTTTGTTGATTCTCCATGTTATTTTTTAATTGAAACACTAGATTTTATTTACACATAAGTTCATCATGCAGCTTTTATAGTTATCAAATCAAAATGGAGGTAAATCAAGTCTTAAAATTTTCTGCAATTAATGTGTGTTTTAGTTCAGTGCTTTCCGTCAAATGGTGCTTATTTTGGAAAGTTTGTATTAAATAGTATTAAACTAAATATCATTGGTAGAATGTGAAAGCATTGAAATGGCAAATGCATTCTGAGGTAAATCCTTTACCACTACATAATTAAAATAGATCAAAATTTGTACTAGTACATGATTTTGGTAAATTATTATATTTTGATATAGACATGTTATTAGAGAAAACTTACCTCCGTCTATGCTGCGGGACAACAGGTACCTTCTACTAATGGATCGTTCAAATTGAGGAGCTGGCCTGTCAATCAAAGCACTAGCCTGTCGGCTCTGGGCTTGGGTTCGTCCACTATAGCGGAACTTTGAGCCAATCACAAGAAAACCTTTTGGGGGAGGCTCAGGAGAGACCAACCTATGGGAGAAAAACAGAAATAATGTTGAGTTTAAGTATGTATCATGTCAAAATGGGCTTGTCTCAAATAGCACTCTAAACCCTCATCTTATCTTCCTCTTAGTCTGCAGTGAAATAATGTTTTTTTTTTGACGACTGCTTATAGAAGTATGCTGTGAAGGGTTGTGGTCTTGGCAGAATTGCACATGGAGGGTGCACAACGACCACAAAGAGGTTCCTTGCAAACACCCTTCTGGAAGTCAAGTTGATGAATGGGACACCCTATGGTGTTGCGGACAGATATGCACACACAGCAGCTATTGTAAGTCCACAGGACAAACAAATACATGTGAACTGTGCCATTTGGGACCAGGCCAGTCAGAGTCTGAGTCAGAGTCCAATCTGTAAGATATTTTTATTGGCATCAATGAAAGAAGTTGGAATCAAAACCAGTACTCAATCTCTTAATACCCCAAACCAACTCTACATCCCCCTATGATTAAGAGTAGGCCCAGATCCAGACCAAAATCTGTTACTCTAAGAATCAAGTCATCAATTTTAATGAGATGGAAAAAAAGAAAAGAGCAAATTATGTTTATATTAATCCATATACATCTGTTTTTGTCCTGTGAAATAAAAAAAAATCAAAGAGGTTATTCTAAAAGTGGAGACATTTGGGGAAAAAAAAAATATTGATATATCTGTAGTTAAATTTCTGTGTGACTGCAATACACTACCTGACAAAAGTCTTGTTGTTGATCCCAGTTGTAAGACCAACAGATAATAACTTGACTTCTAGTGGATCATTTAAAAAAGTAGAAGAAGGTAGACTTTTCTGATAAATCATCTGTTGAACTGCATCCCAGTTATCACAAATTCTGCCTAAGACCTACTGAAACCCACATGAACCCAAGATTCTCAAAGAAATCAGTTTAATTTAGTAAAGGAAAAATCATGGTTTGGGGTTACATTTAGTATGGGGGCATGCGAGTGATCTGCAGAGTTGATGGCAACATCAACAGCCTGAGGTATCAAGACATTTGTGTTGGCCATAACATTACAAACCACAGGAGAAGGCGAATTATTTAGCTGGATAGCACTCCTTATCATACTTCAGCCTTCACATCAAAGTTTCTGAAAACAAAGAAGGTCAAGGTGCTTCAGGATTGGCTAGCCCAGTCACCAGACATGAACATTATTGAGCATATCTGTGATAAGATTAAGGAGGAGGCATTGAAGATGAATCCAAAGAATCCTGATGAATTCTGAGAGTCCTATAAGAATGCTTTCTTTGCCATTCTAGATGACTTTATTGAGTTATTTGAGTCATTGAAGAGATGTATAGATGCAGTCTTCCAAGCTTATAGTAGGCATGATCATATTTTATTTTGGCAAAATAAGCATAATCTAGAGGTCTTTGCCTTTCATATAAGCTACTTCTGATACCAAATGATCAACTAGAAGTCAAGTTATTATTTGTTATTCATATGACTTGGATAGGCGACAAGACTTTTGTCTTGTTAGTGTATTTAGACATTTTGTTTTTTAGTAGTGTATATTCACTTTGTATTTTCACTCAAAGGTTTAAAACCACTGACATCAATTGTAAGAAATCCTGTGCTATGGAAATCAATTGTTTTGTGTTGGTCAAAAAAAAAAAAAAAAAAAAAAAAAAAACTGGTTTGGTACATAAGGAGAGTGTGTGAATTTTGAAAGACTTTTCATTTATGGGTGTGAACTATCACTTTAACAAAATACATCAAAAACAAATCAAAACTGTCTAAAAGCAAAACTGAAAACAAGCATCATTCTTCAGATTCTTTGAGTCCAGCAGTTGCCTGCAGCATAGAAAAGCAATACCATGTCAATTCTACTTTTAGCTCTTTGTTCATCCAGATATTTTTTATATAATAATTCATTTATAATGTATCTTTCCCATGCCAAGTTTTATTAGTTTATCTCAAGGAAATTTAAATAACCAAACTCCAAATCCAGACCAAAACCTTAAAGTGTTCAAACACAATGGTACCAGCTAATACAGAATGCAAGTGAAGATTCCAACTATGTCAGTGAAGGTACAAAACAAGATGCTTTCTTAAATGTAAAAAAATTAATAAAAGTGCACAGTGTTGTGGCAGTGGTTGCAGGACAGTAAGCTCCTACCTGAAAAATGTGTGGTGTTCAATGCAGACCTTCCACAAGCGCTTAGAGGCACGGTGGTTGGGCAGCTTGAAGCCAATGGTGCTCTCAAACTGCTCGTACTGGGAGTGCAGGGGAGTGTGGGCATGTGATGGGGAGGAAGTGGGGGGGTGTGAAGGGAAAGCAAAGTGGTAACGTGTTACTTGACAGGAGATTTGACAAGGTGTAAAATCTGTGTGCTGCTAAAGCTCAAATCAACCGACAGGGCACAATTCTGGATGCCTTGATTTATCCAAACAGAACGAAAGCAGAATTTCAAAAGAATGCTGCAGAGAAACTGCATAAGAATAAGAGCAAATATTAATATCTAAAAGCTCAAGGTCCACAGAAGGGAGCCTGTGTTGATAAGATGTTGAAAAGTGAAGAGTCATAAATAAAGGCATTGAGATATTGTCAAGAATTCATAACTGACCCTCAAAAATAACCGAGAGAGTCAAAGAAATGCCATGCTTTTTTGTGATACACAAAGACGAGGATTCTATTGTGAGAGAAACATCACAGAAAATAGCCCCATAAATGCATACTGCAGAATCCTTAACACCTAATAAAGACCTCTGCAACTTATTTTGCCTTTTTTCCCCCTCTTTCAGAATTTAATTGTCTAACCCCATCTCGACTTATTTTCTGCTTCTCTCTCTTTCTCTCTCTCTCTCTCTCTCTGCCCACTAGGCAAAAAAATTTCACAGCTCAGCCTAATGTTTTAAAACCCTCACCCATTCCACATTCAGCAAGCTAGCAAACGCTAAAGAGCAGAACTTCAAACAATATAACTAGTGTTTGTTGAAACATAATTAAAGACATTTTTTAAAGTGGCGTAATTAGAAAAGTGCTTAAAAATATTTCATTTCTTTTTGTGCAAAGCGGTAGGAGAACACCCACATCAGTCTTCAGAGCACAGGGTAATTTGAAAGCCTCAATAGTGATTTCAAATGCTAGGAAAAATGTTCTATTCGTTCCTAATAAAACCATATCATGCAGATTATCCGCCCATTTTTCTCGCCTACAGCATTAGTCTCTAAATGACATCCTTATCTTGCTCATTCTTGAACATGTATCTAAAAGTGGAATCTAACAAGGAAAAACCTGGAAAATCTCAAAAGACCTTTTTCTCTACCTCTCCAGGTCGGATTTTGATGTAAAAGTTGCTTCTCTTGTATGATATTTTGAGGATCTTGGGCCAGGCGAATCGGTTGATGCGCAGCCTGTCTCTGTAGATCAAAAGGCCACTGGCACAAACCCCCAGCATGATGTCGATACCTTCAGAGTCCTTTGAAACATACAAACAAACCAATCCAGATGCTTACTTTAAGTCACATTTCAGTTTCAGACTGTATCCAAATAACAGATGATTTTTAAGATTTTATCCTAAGATGAAAAACAATGGATGACAAGCCTGTTCTAATGGGGTCATGGACCGCAGGGAAAACAATCTTATGTCCAGATAATGGAATGCAAATGAACACCATCATGTAAAATAAATAGGTTTATCTGCCTTCATCAGCCAGTAGAAATACTTTTTTGACATAAATATCTTCTAACTTGCAAAAAAGGCTTTCGAAAAAGTCAAAGTTATTTTAATGCACATTTATATGTTACTTGGTAGTAGAAATAATAAGTAATGAGTATTTATATAGGGCATTTTATTGTGTATGGCCATACACCCAAAGCTCTTCACAGTCGTGAGGGGGTCTCTCCACACCACCACCAGTGTGCATCATCCACTTGGATGATGTGATGCCAGCCACATGACAATGTCACCAGTGCACTCACCACGCACCAGCTATAGGGGAAGTGGAGAAACAGTGATACAGCCAATTTGGTGGATGGGAGGATTAGGAGGCCATTTTTAATGGCCACAGAGAGTCAGGACCTCGGTTTAACGTCTCAAGGGCATTTGAGATCACACAGACCACATTGAGCACCTCATGCTGGCCTTACTAACACCACTTCCAAAAGCAACCTAGTTTTAACATGTGGTCTCCCAACCTGGTACTGGCCAGGCTTGGCCTTGCTTAGCTTCAGTGAGAAAATGGGCTCTTGGATGATATGTCTGTAATACAAATGCTATTTCTGTACTGAGAAACAGTTCCTTTGTCAGAAAAAAAACTTACATTGTCTGTTTTATGGTCTCATCTTTTCACTTTTCAGTTTTGGTCAGTTTAGATTTGTTTATGTGGTTGTATTCAGATTTCATTCAGACCACACCAGAATTCAATTTGCAGTGAGTGAAGCACATACTGTAAAATATGAACAAAATTTAAATTTTATTAAGTACAAAAAAAAACTATATATTTTGGGTGAATGTGATACTTTATTCATCATGAAAATAAAAAAAAAAATCTTTATTAAAATTATACTTGGGTTTTGTATTTCTAAAATGATAGTTAGCAGCTGCCAAATTCTTATGCATTCAATTTAAATATGGCCTTTGAATAAAAATAAGCAACACAATCTCACGGCAGTTCGTAACTTTTTTCAATTAAGTGGCTAATTCGTATGAATCTGTACAATCTAATTCATACAATTTAGTAAGATTTTCAGTAACACTTTACAATAAGGTTCATTAGTTAATGCATTTACTAACATGAACTAATCATGAACAACACACGTACAGCATTTATTAATCATAATTGAACATTTACTAATGCATTATTAACATCCAAGTCCATGCTTGTTAACATTAGTTAATGCACCATGAGTTTACATGAACTAACAATGAACTACTGTTTTTTCATTAACTAACGTTAACTAACATAAACAAATACAGTAGTAAATGTATTGTTCATTGTTTGTTCATGTTAGTTAATGCATTAATTAACATTAACTAATGAACCTTATTGTAAAGTGTGACCAGATTTTCTTACCCCCCAATGACAGTTGGGTTTAGGTGTAGGGTTTGGTGCCAAACCTACTTTTTAAAATCGTACATTTTCGTACAACTGAACTCATATGAGTTTGTACACTGACAAAATGTGAAATAGTTAAAGGTGCAGTAGGTGATCTGCCAAAATGCTAAACATTTAGCAAAATATCTTTGAAACACAGTCTCTCCCCTGCCGTCCAGAGCCACGCCTCCTGAAACGTGAATGTTTGCACCTTAAAAATTACAGCAGACCCACTTGTTTAAGTCATTTACCTGCTCGAAATGTGTTTAGTAGTTGGCCGGCAGGGTGCAGGAATTACACTTATTACTAAGCCATACTTACATGCTATTTCAGACCAAATATTCAGAGCATGATAAACAATATAGGGAGCACGTCACAGGTTACGAAAAATATAAAACCAACTTCACCTCAGTAAAGCAGGCTAGGTGAAATAGGGTTATTTACTGATGTTTTGTTGTTAAACAAAATAAAAATCTACATTATCAATGCTGTAAAAAGTCCCTCATAAAAATTAATAAAACAGTCCCAACAAACTTTCACTGGAAGATTTCAGTGGCTGAACAACACTTCTGTGCATATAGTCCATTCATAACAACAAACTCTACATAAGCTTTGCATGACTAAAACAGTTTTAAAACAGAACATTACCTGTCTAAAATAAATACTTCATCCATGGTCTCGTCATTCCTCCAGCGTGCAAAACTAACTCCAATATTCATTCAGGATTTTAAAAAGTTTTTATTTAGCCCTTGATTTTACCGCAACTGTAAACACGCAGCAGATCTGCGTAAAGAGATGCGCAGTGGTGCAAATCTACATTTGCTGACAGACAGTTTGGGCTACTTATGATAATTATGTGAATAATTAATTTATAAATGGGATGGGATTTTTTAGTTTTATGCCTTACCCAAAATTTAAAAATGCATATATATATATGATCTTTAGATCATTAACTTTAATCTATGCTATTGGAATGTGAAGAGACTTTCTTATATATCTTATATATCTTTCTTATACATCTTTAGATCATTAACTTTAATCAACACTATTGGAATGTGAAGAGGCTTTCAACCAGCAAAACAAAAAATGTTTCTGATTTCAGAAACAATCACCTACTGCACCTTTAAGTTTCCTCGTGGGTTCAGACTGAAATAAGACACATGGCATTTCTAGCAAACTTCAAAGCAAAACTCGCAGCGTCATACCTTAGCATGATGGAGATCAACGCCATACATGGAGAGTTTCTTGGCATTCTCCAGGAAGTTGATTTCAGCCTCTGCAGGACTCATACCCCTGAGAACACATCATTATTTTGAGCAAATCATAATTCAAGAGTGGCTAATTTAAAAATGTGTCATTCACAGCTGAATATGTGATTGCTTATGCTGCTTGCAAACAGTATCAGTCATTACTACAGCTGCCAATTTAATGTTAGTGTGATTTATCATGCAGTGTATGTTCTTTATTATTAAGTGACAAAAAAGGGTATTTAATCATGTCCCTTGATCTGTAATTAAATAAGTAATTTTCTTACCTTCAGAGTCATTTATATTTAGTATTTTTATATTTTTAAATGAGTTTAAATATATCAGACTTACTAACTTTTTTAAAAGTTTTTTTTATTATCTGAAAATGGTGAATATATAAAACAGTATAATAAAGGTGTCAACATCATCCTAGTTTTTAAAATATCTATAGGCTAATGTGCTTCAAAACAGTGACTAAATTCGTGTTTAGAAGATATAAAACTGATATAAACATGTAAAGCTTGTAGTTTGTCACTTCCGCCTATGTAGATCAACGGTTTTATTCATGTCACCTCATACTTCAGTTTCTCATGAAATCTTGACCAATCATTTGCTCCCTAGTATCTGACATGCCTCGCCTCCTTCAAGACGCTTCACTCTCGCTGACAGAGCTGTGATAAAACAAAACGCTAGTGGCTGTTTTAAAAAAGGAGGAGGAGCTACACTATGTCCCTCTCTTCGTGTTTCGGTTGAGATTACTTTAAACATCTAATAAAAATGCACTTATTAAAGCACTTCACAGGACCTTTTAGAGGACTTCACAGGAACTTTTTTTTTGTGTGTAATCATCTGAAATAAATATAACAATAGACTATGTTTACATTGACATCAGTAATTGAATTATATGCTTTAATCAAATTAAGACAATAATAAGATTCAGGCGTTTACAGGCGTTGGTTTTTGAATGTTTCTTTCATGATCGCGTTTTACATGTTATAGCACATACTTAGATAAACGTCATTGCATCACCGCACTATCCGCATTTTATCAGAAGTTTCATATCATTTCAGGTGTTTCATTATTAGTTTTTCAACTTTAACTGCGGTTTCGCACTTTCACTTTCATTCGGGCATGCCCCGTAAAAAACAAGATATTGGATGCAACTATGAACGGCTGGAAGAGTTGCTTTAATGGAAGTTCATACCGCATGCTGAATGGAAGAAAAAAAAGCTCCGCATTTCATGAGGCAGGTGTCTGTGGTCTGCACTGACTCGGTAGGTGCAAAGTGTGTCAAACAACCGTGTGTGTGTGTGTGTGTGTGTGTGTGTGTGTGTGTGTGTGTGTGTGTGTGTGTGTGGACTATCCTATCGCAAAACGCTGCAAAAATCCCTACATGAGGGTAATAATTCGATTAAGGTGTTTACATGTCTATAATGCACTTATAATGCGACTAAAATCTGCATATTCCACATGTCTAAATTCGATTTCTCTTTAGTTCGATTACGACTTTAATCTGATTAAATGAATCAAAAATCGCTGTTTACATGGTCGACTCTTAATCAGAGTATTGTCTTAATCGCATTATAATCATATTATTGGTGTTCATGTAAACGTAGTCAGTGTGGAGATTATGTGTATTTTTGATGCAAATGCACAAACAACATGGTTTGGCCTTCTGGAAATTAAAGTGAATCAACAGTGCTCACTATCTATGGACAATCATGTCCCCCACACCCAGTTTACATAAAATCCGTTATAAACACTGTGCTAGCTACTATTTGTGTTGAATTAGTTTTAATATTCAGCTATGGGACATTTTGGGAAACATTTTGATTATCCCGTGGTAGATGGATGACCTTCTTTGTATAAATGTGTCAAATTACAGCTCTTTTTTTTAAAGATGTTTTTTTTTTTTTCTAGAGTATTAAAAGAATTTTATTATTACTAGTGTAGAGACTCTGGTTCCAATTGACATCAGTGGTACAAAGCTGTCTTGTCTGGGCAATATTTTATTATTTTTATTTTTTATTATTATTATTTTCTGCAGTATGTTTAAATCACCAACCTGATTTTACAAAGCAGGACATCTTTCTGGACTAACATCTACGCTCTGAGAAATAAGGGTACGCAAGCTGTCACTGGGGTGCTACATTTTCAAAGAGTACACATTTGTACTTAAAGGTCCATATTGGTACCTCAAAGGTATATATTACTACCTAAAAATTTAAGAGGGACTCTTTTGTACTGTTTAGGTACTAATATGTACCCTTGAGGTATTAATATCGACCTTTTAGGGACAAATTTGTTCCTTTTGAAAAGGTACCACCCCAGTGATAGCTCTTGTACCTTTATTTTTGAGAGTGTATGTTGATTCAGGAACAACATTCCAATCAGCCAATCAGAATTAAGGAATATGTTTACCGTTTACGTTAAGTAAACTTCCACATGATTGTTATCCAACTATTATTCCTCTCTAATTCTGGGAATCATTTACAGTTACGGTTGGGTTTAGGAGTAGGGAGTAGATATGGATTACATTTTCGAACAAAAATAATGTTCCAGGATCAACATAGATGTTAATCCAGGATCCCATCGTACTTGGCAAAATCATGATGTTCAAGTCGAAATAGTCCATCTTTTTAACAATTTATTTTGTAAGCAATATCTATACAAAGATTGTCTTTTTCTATAAAGCCAAATAAAGACTATAAATACACAAGACATGTCACTCGTATAGTTTTAAATGGGGAAAAGTGTAACGGTCAATAGGGAGAGTGAAACCTCACATACTAGTACAGTAGCCAATCAGCGATCGCTATAGACTGATGTTTCTCCTGCGAGTCCAGACATGCTTTTACAACAGGTAGGTGGTCAACAAACACACTTGAATCTCAGCGAATACTTGTTTACAGAAGTAAGAAACATCCACATAAAGCTTGAAATCTGTGCTTTCAAATGAAGCAACTGCACTTGAAACAAAAGTCGTTTGATTTTGTAATCTGTGTGAAATGAACGCAAGGTACAGTCCGTCCTGTCAAACGCACATCACATGAAAGCAACTACTCAAACGCCCACAAACACTGAGTTGCTGTCATTTTTGGAGGTGATTTGCCATCAAGACCAAGTTGTGGATTATATCAGAAGACCAGCGCAACCAGACAATCATTATTCAGAGGATGATTATGTGTAGAATGGCCATAAATCAGGTTGGTGTTGTGATTTCATTTCTTTCAAGTGCACATGCGGATTAGCTTGGGCAACCTAAAAGTATGCCAATTTTGTTTGATTCAGACGTTTAGAAACAAAACTTATGAGACGGATTATGTTTAATTTTATTGGTGATTTCAAATAATGTAATCGAAAGCTTGGTAAACCATTTTGATGAACTTAATGTTTTAAAAAGTGCCCGAACACACCTGAGAGGCATTTCAAAGATGGCCGCCGAGTGAAATGGTTTGCCTTAAAAGGACTTTGATCCTAACCCTTGTCTGAAGGGGTGATATATTAAAAACTAATCTAAAACTAACTAATGGGGTTCCCGAGAGATCAGACCTTGGTCCAATACTATTTTCTATTTAGACAACATCACTGAAAAAAATTCAGAAACCCTTTGTTTACCTTTGTTAAATAGATTCTTTTTTTCCCTGATCCCATGGTGACACATATTTTAGACACAGACACAGATCGATGAAAGTTCATCATCTACAACTCAACTTGGCGATCTTTTCTACACAACTAATGCAGGCAACTAATTGTAATTTTCTAGGTACTTGCTTTCTGCAACACTCTGTTAGCTGGTCATTCATCGTGATGATGGTCTTCAAACAATTTATAAAACACGTCACACTTCTCTTCATCTCCCTGCACTGGCTACCGCTTGCAGTTCACATCAGGTTCAAAGCTTTGATGTTTGCTACAAAACAGCCACAGGCTCTGCATACTACAACCTCCACATGCTCTTACAAGTCTACCTCTCTACAAATATTCTCATTCACTATTTCTAACTGAAATAATTATATTCCTTACCCTCCTAATCTATTCCCTGAGCAAATAAAAAAGCCTTTATTTATTTATTTTTCTAAAAATGGGTTCACAATGTCTGAAACTGCCATCTATACAACCGCTGGTTTTTAGTGCTAAGTATAGTATATTTGGAAAGTCTGTCCTGGCTCTATGTTGTCAAGTGACATGATATAATTGAACCAAAGGGAACTGAAATCTTGTTCTTATTCTACACACAATACCCCACAATGACAATGTGAAATTTTTTTTTTTTTTTTTATTGTTGCAAATGTATTAAAAATAAAAAACCTAAAAATCTATTGTTTATGGGGTATTGTGTGTAGAATTTTGTGGAAATAAATTAATTTAATCCACTTTGGAATAAGGCTGTAACATAAACAAATGTGGAAAAAGTAAAATGCTATGAATATTTTCCGGATGCACTATACATGCACAGCACAATTCACATTTACAAAATCCAGTTTGTAAATTTGCAAACACTATTTTATCAGTAAAAATCATAAAAATTTTCACCAAATTAATTGGATTTGTGTATTTTCAAATCGTGTTTTTAATTTACAAATTAAATTTGTGTTTATGAATCATGTTTTCACTTACAAATTGGATTATTGTATTTTTAAATCATGTGCGTAGCCTCACATTCCAACAAAGGCATTTTCACTGTCTTTATTACACAGCAGTTCATATTTTACAGCCAAGTCTCTTTATACAGTATATTAGTTTGATTCATTCTACTGTCTGTATACATTCATTCATTAATTTTTTTGTCAGCTTAGTCCCTTTATTAATCCGGGGTCGCCACAGCGGAATCAACCGCCAACTTATCCAGCACATTTTTACGCAGCGGAAGCCCTTTCAACCGCAACCCATCTCTGGGAAACATCCACACACACTTATACACTACGGACAATTTAGCCTACCCATTCACCTGTACCACACATGTCTTTGGACTGTGAGGGAAACCGGAGCACCCGGAGGAAACACACGCAAACACAGGGAGAACATGCAAACTCCACACAGAAATGCCAACTGAGCCAAGACTCGAACCAGCAACCTTCTTGCTGTGAGGAGACAGCACTACCTACTGTGCCACTGCGTCGCCACTGTCTGAATATTTAATCGCAATTAAATAAACGACTTTGCCTGCTTCAAGATATTGAGGTTCTCTTTATTAATGATGATACAACTTTAATGAAGTCAGATTAGTTATAATGGAGTAAATAAGTGATTTAAACATGCTGTCCTTCAACTGCTTTCTGTATTTGATTATTAGTTTAGAATAGCAGCAAAATCTTCAAGCATTCCATTTTTTTAAAAGTGAAACATTTTATGCATGTGACCTAATAAATTATAGTATTTTTATTGTTTATTAAATCAAATCGAACTATCAGTTTGATTAATAATTGATTAATGAATGTTAATTGTCATTCAAGAAAATTATCTAAATGAACAATCTCAACTTCGCCCTGCATTCCCGTCTGCTATGCCACTGAATGAGCTTGAACTAATATGGTAACAGCAACAATGTTATTTGCTGTTTTTTATAATAGCTTTTGATGTCTTGGAAGCTGAATGACACAACTATGGTAATGGTCATTACATTTCTGACTCACTGTTGTGTTCATCCAACATGCTGGGCCAGCTGGCCAATCTGATCTTTTCAGAATGAGGAGCTTTGTAGAAACCAAAACTCAACCAGAGTATTTCAGACTGACTAGGATTAAAGGTGCAACAATAATGTACAGTATGTAAAAAAATTATAATAATAATGTGTGTGTGTTTGTGTGTTTTACTATACTATTAACTATTCTATGAGTATTCTATCACATGACCAAAATAACTAAAAACTTTTAAAACAAGCATCATTCCTTTTAACTTCAGTATTTTCAACGCTTTAATTGTCTCTTATACTAATGTAATGTATTCACAGTATCATCATGCGTGGGACTCAGCAAACACTGATTAATGTGATTAATTGGGTTTAATTAAATTAATTAGCATATCATGTGAGTAATATGAGTATAATTGTTAATTAATTGACAGCGTTGATAATTCCTGCTGTGTCTGTGTGTGTACCTCTCTCACCTGTAGGTGCGGTGCAGCTCCATCACCCTTTCCTCCAGCTCGCGAGTCTGATTGGGGGCAAAGCGGAACTCGTTGATGTAGTCTGGCCCGTGTTCCTCGGGGTCATAGTCTCCCAGCTCAGCCTGAATGGCGTATGAGCCCAGTAGAGCATGAGTGACGAACGAGCAGGGCAAACGACCTGACAGAATGTCCTCCCTCAGCTGCAGACACAGGTAATACCTGCCCATGCAAACACACATGCAACAAATTAACTAACTTAACAAATTATTAATTTAAAATAATTTAAACTAGGAGACACTATGGCTCAGTGGTTAGCACTGTCGCCTCAAAGCAAAAGGTAGGGATGTGAAGATCCGATCACATAATCAGAAATTGGACGTTACCTCTCAATCAGGACTCGAATATACATTATATATACATTATATATATATATATATATACAGTTGAAGTCAGAATTATTAGCCCCCTTTTGATTTTTTTATTCTTTTTTAAATATTTCCCAAAATGGTATTTAAAAGAGCAAGGGAATTTTCACAGTATGTCTGATAATATTTTTTTCTTCTGGAAAAAGTCTTATTTGTTTTATTTCGCCTAAAAGCAGTTTTGAATTTTTTAAAAACTATTTTTGGGACAAAATTATTAGGCCCTTTAAGCTATTTTTTTTTTTCCGTTAGTGTACAGAACAAACCATCGTTATAGAATAACTTGCCTAATTACCCTAACCTGCCTAGTTCACCTTATTAACCTAGTTAAACCTTTAAATGTCTCTTTAAGCTGTATAGAAGTGTCTTGAAAAATATCAAGTAAAATATTATTTACTGTCATCATGGCAAAGATAAAATAAATCAGTTATTAGAAATAGGTTTTTAAAACTATTATGCTTAGAAATGTGTTGAAACAATCATTAAACAGAAATTAGGGGGAAAAATAAACAGGGGTGTTAATAATTCAGGGGGCTAATAATTCTGACTTCAACTGTATGAATGTATATATATATATATATATATATATATATATATATATATATATATAATGTGTGTGTGTGTGTGTGTGTGTGTGTGTGTGTGTGTGTGTGTGTGTATCATCTATAAATATAGTATGAGCAGTACTATATTTTATATAACTAAAATCCTAAGTGATTATGAAGTGTGATCATAAATGATTCAACATGGAAATAAAACATTAATACACTTTTTAACATCCTACTAAGGACAACCTATAAATTATTCTACAACATGACTTTTTGTTGCATTTGTAGATTGTAGATATATTTTATACACCATTGTTGTTAGTAGTAGTAGAGTAGCAGTAGTAAAATTTATTTTCCTTTGCAGTCACAAGAATAATTATTAAAACGTTTACATTTTAATTCAAATAATATGCAGTTTGCAACTAAAAGCTTCAGGCATAGCACAGCAACACTGGCTCAACCAATTGCATTAAGTGTGGGAGGTACTATCTGTTTTGCTGCCCAATGGCAGACAGTGGGCGTATTCTGCAGACCGTCTTTATTTTTGCACTTACATCTGGTGATGCTAGTGGCACAGAAATTACACATTTCATCTTTAACAAGTTTGAACAGTGCACTCACCGTGTGATGTCTTCAATCAGCTGAGACGGATCAGGGGGATAGAACTTGACAGCAAAGGAGAAATGCCAAGGACCCACTAAAAACAATCAAACACAAGCTTGTGTTCAACAGATTCAGGCAGCCAAGGTTACAAAGTCAAAGTCCTGTAGGTTGGTATTTCCCGACACTTACCACGGATTTGTTTCTTGATTTCTTTTGAAGGATCGAGCCAATTCTGAAAGCGAGAACAAGAAATTCTCTATCAAGCAGGGCACAGTGATAAGCAAATGCCGCAGTTTCAGCACCATCTCCTCCACGGCAGGAGCAACCACCTCATACATATTCTATAAAATGGTCAGTGCATTAATATTCTACAGCCACAGGAGCACTAAAAGAGTAGATAAATGTCATCTCCGGCACACCGCACTCCAGTAAGGTCATCCAAAGCCTGGTGACACACAAAAACGTTTAATGCCAGCTCACCTCGTTCCAGAGGACATGAAAAGAATGGCCTTCTTAACATCTCTCAGTGCCAGCATTCATAAATGACCACTGATACATGTAAAATGCAAAAGCCAGAATCAAATTGTCTCAGAAATTACCCTCCTCTTCTGTGCTGACAAGTTATTTCAACTCAAAGACATTTCTACTGAAAGCCTGGTTATTTTTTTTTACATTCATCCAGCCTGCAAATGTCTTCATGCCATAGCATAAATCGTCTCCATTACATTTGAAAAATGGCCCATTTTTGTTCCTGGATTTGTCTGTAGAAGTGTCTTCGAAAAAAAACTCACACTCTCCACAGGCCTCGCTTCCCATGCTTGATACATGTGGTTTTTTCAACGGAAATCGTTCACCTTTCTAACTGCAGTTTGATCAGATTTGTTGGCCCGGGAACAATCCCACTGATCACAGCAGCAGGCGCTAGAGCCTCAGCTGGGAAAAAGAGCTAAGTGGAGCTAGACTACGATGGCTGTGGTGGTGCAGGCAGGGTCCTTACGGCAGAACTAGGACTGGGTAGCTGCTCGGAGCATTTCCATCAATCAAATCCTTCCTCGAACAGTCCCAGTAACAAGGGCTCTGAGAGCTCCTTAATAACCACATTATCTCAAGTCATTTATGTGCGCGGCAAAGCCAGTAATGCTGTATTTTTATAACAAGAGGTCGTAGTAGTGGGAATAGATGGGAAACATAAGGAGGCTCTTGTTAAAACGAGATCATGCATATTGGCCAACATCCCCTGTTGCCTAGTTACAAATGAGGGAACTGTAAGATTGCTTTGGATGTTTAAATGTGACTAAATCAGGCTAATAAAATTAGCAGTCAATAAGTTCATCTACAGCAGCTATTAGGGATGCACCAATATAGAACTTGTGGGTGATACCGTTGACTCTTTATATTTGGAAATTGATACATGGGCAAATAAACATCATTTAAATATTTTTTTTAGCTTGTTACAAAACCAATAACCTGGTAGCCAGCACTCCCACTTTTGGGATTCACACCTGTATAATGATAAATAAAATGATAATAATTTTTGACCCCATCAAACACAATTTAGGTATTGGAAAGAAGACACTTTGGCCTTCATCTATGCCTCCTATCCTTTATCTATTGTTTACATTGCATCTGGAAAGTAATCATAGTACTTCACTTTTTCCACATATTTTTTTATGTTACAGGCTTATTCCAAAATGGATTAAATTAATTTATTTTCCTACACACAATACCCCATAATGACAATGTGGAAAAAAAATTTTTTTGAAATTGTTGCAAATTTATAAAAAAAAAAAAAAAAAAATCTGAATAATCTCATGTACATCAGTATTCACTGCCTTTGCTCAATACTTTGTTGATGTACCTTTGGCAGCAAATACAGCCTCAAGTCTTTTTTGAATATGATGCCACAAGCTTGGCACACCTGTCTTTGGGGAATTTTTGCCCGTTCCTCCTTGCAGTACCTCTCAAGCTCTATCAGGTTGGATGGGAAGCAACAGTGTACAGCCATTTTCAGATCTCGCCAGAGATGTTCAACAGGATTTAGAACTGGGCTCTGGCTGGGCCACTCAAGGACATTCACCAAATTGTTGTGAAGCCATTCCATTGATATTCTGGCGGTGTGCTTTGGGTCGTTGTCCTGCTGGAAGATGAACTTTCAAATCATGTCCAATAAACTGCATTTACCACAGGTGAACTCCAATTAAACTGCTGAATCATCTCAACATAATTTAGAACTTCAAGGCAAAGGCTGTGAATAATTATGTACATGTGATTTTTAAAGTTTTTAATTTTTTTTTTTTTTAAATTTGCAACAATTTCAAAAAATATTTTTTTCACATTGTCATTAGGGGGTATTCTGTGCAGAATTTTGAGGAAATAAATGAATTTATTCTATTTTAGAATAAGGCTGTAACATAAAAAAGTTGGAAAAAGTGAAGTGCTATAAATACTTTACGGATGCACTGTATAATGCTCTAAAAGATAAAAAAAAAAAAAACATCCAGATATAAAATTATGTCTTAAGTAATGTAAAAAATATAATAATACAGTTAAAAATTGATTTAATTAATCTAAGATTGAGCCTATATTAAATTGAGACCAGCCTTGTTCCAAAGCAATGATAAATTACAAAGTATATAATCTGAAGTCCATATTTTTCTTGGTGAGAAACAGCCACATTGCTGAAATCTCTTATTCCCTCTACCGTACACTATTCTAAAGAGCATGTCTGTTGTGTCAAAATTTGAAAATAAGCAGCAGCATGCATTCCATTTTCCAATACTATATTTTCTAACCTGACTGTAACAATAAAAATAACTTTTGTTGTTTGACACCGATATATTGTGCATCACTGGCATTCAGAGAAAGGAAACAATACAAATAACAAAAAGAACACGAAGAATCTGCTCTGAGTATTCAGGAATAGTTCACCCAACAATGAAAATGTGTGGTTCATTTACTCAGGCCATCCAAGATGTAGCTGCCTTACTTTCTTCTGAAGAACTCTAAAAATGGTTTATGGCTGAACCCACATTCCTTGGTGATTCATAAAATCCAAGTTTTTTTCTCCTGATATTAGCATATACGTTTTCAGAGATCTAGTGACAAAGGTTCAGCTGAGAGACATTACGTTTTCCATCTGGTCTCCTGTGAGCACTTGCCTTCAGATTTCATCAAGACAATTCTTTCCTTTTTTCTCACACTCTGCAGTACATAATTTTTTACTACTACTGAATCATGAGTGTCCAAACCTGTTCTAGCAGATTGGCTAACCTGCTGTGTTTAGTGTTTCCAACCCTAATCAAACACACGTGAACTGGCTCATATTAAATTTCTAGACAAGTGTGTTGGAACTGGTTTGAAATTATACAAGACAGTGACCAGGAGAAAGATTGGACATTCTAGTACAGTAAAACATTATACTGTAGCACCATTGTTATTAATTCAGTTAATTTGAAGCAGCAAGTTTTGTATTTTAAACTTAAGCTTCAAAGTATGTCACGACAATTGTGACTTGAAACAAAGCTTATTTTCAAGTTGAGCCAACTTATGTTGAATAATTGGATTTCCCTATCCGCCATCTACTCAGTGGGAATTACTGGAACCTACTTTGCTGGAGTAAGTCTTATCTAACCAGCAAATCATGCAGGGTGACTTATAGAAGAAAGATATCCAAAGCATACCAGCTGACATAGGGGTTCCTCGTAGATCAGTTCTTGTAGTTCTTCTCTTCCCAGTTTCCACCACTTTCTGGGTCTCATCACTCAAGTAGATTGTTATGCTAATGACACACAATTATATGTTCAATCTGAAACAGATGATCCTACAGTAGCTGCAAGGGTCTAACATTGCCTGAAGGACATCTCAATAGGAAGAACGATCATCACCAGCAGATAAGTCTGGCAAAACAGAGTATCTTGTTCTCCCTGTAGTACCAACTGTACAGTATGTCATAATCACACTATCCAGTTGGGGTTATCTACAGTTATCCCTTATAATTCAATCAGGAACCTTATAGTGATGCTTGATCTCCAGTTGTCTTTCAAAGATCACATAGGAAACAGCACGATAATGTAGGCTTGCTCTTTACAATATTAGAAGATCAGACTCTCCTTACAGAGCAGGGTGCACAACCTACGCCCAAGCACTTGTTGTTTCTAGCAATGCTATCCTGCTCTGTGAAACCTCTTCAAATTATCCAAAAAGATGCAGCTCGTCTGGTCTTTACCAAGGTCAAATGAGCCCACATCACACCTATCTTCCTGCACTGGCTACCATTTGCAGCTTACTGTACTGTATATCAAGTTGAACATTTTGATGCTTGCATGCACAAAGACTACAGGCTCTGCACCATCCTATCTCCACTTACTTCTACAAGTCTACACTCCCTCCAAAAGCCATGGAACCAATCATAAGTCATAAGATTTATACATTATCTGAAAGCTGAATAAAGCTGAAATTAACTTTTCCTTAATGTGTGGTTGGTTAGGACAATATTTGGTCAAGATACAACTTTTAAAAAATCTGGAGTCTGTGTTAAACAAAGTATCAATATTTTATTAGTCTAAATTGAGATTACACATTACTAGTAACAATTTATACATATTTACTTCTTCATGAAATATGATCTTTACTTAAAGGGTCACAAAACACCAAAATGCATTTTTTGAGATGTTGACAGTCATATATGTGTCCCACGTTGCTAAAAACACTATTAGGACACATATTCATTCATTCGTTTTCTTTTTGGCTAAGTCCCTTTATTAATCTGGGAATGAACTGCCAACTTATACAGCACGTTTTTATGCAGCGAAAGTGCTTCTAGCCGCAACCCATCTCTGGAATTAGGACACATATATTTCACTAAAAAGTGAAAATTTGTTGTTTTTGCATTGCTTTGAGCAAATATATTCTTTCAGTTAAAAAAAAAATGAATAAATAAATAAAAATTTTAAAACAAAGTCAAGGCAATAGGATCATATGTAAATGCCAGCATGGAGATTGGATGTCTATACTGGCGGATACAAAAGTGTTGTCATTGAGTTTTCAGCACATCTGTTCATTAATTCATGACTTGTTTCGGGATCATTACAGGAACTTTCAAAAAGCATTTCATGTAAACACCTTGATGATATTATTATCTTATTCAAATTAGGGCAAATAATTTGATTACTAATGTCCATGTAAAGTCATTGTCCATCTCCCCTGTGTCTTTGTTTGTGTTGCATGTGCACATAATGAAACTCCCCTTTTAATGCAAACCCTTCTCTCTTTCGCCACTCGACACTCCCACCTAAACAAAACTGGACTCAACAACTTTCTAGACTTCTTTCAAACTAGAGGTGTGACAACACCCTGCTGAGATGGGGGAAGAGGGGGAGTGTTCATGACCCTTTAATACTCTAACGATTTTTGGCATAAAATAAAATTATTAATTTGGCCCATACTGTATATTTTTGGCTATTCCACAAATACCCCGGTACGACATATGACTGGTTGCCAAATCACTGGCAACATTCAAAAGGAACCTAAGAAGTCACCTTTTCCATGAAAACTAAACTTCAAAATAAAATTTAAAAATAAATTAAAGAAAATGTTTTCTAATCCCCTCCTACCCTGTCTTGCATTTTTTTATGTGTAGATTTTTAATTAGTAGCACTTTGCAAAGAAACAATCAACTCATGCCTTCCACATCTGTGTGTTGCTTTGGATAAAATAGTCTAGTAAATGAATAGATGTTAATGTTAAGCTCTGTAAACTTACTCAAGTTTAACAAAGAAATAGTTTTACAGTGTGCCAAAAGTCAACTGATGCCAATGTTTGGAGGTGTACTGAGTGGCATCAGTTCAGTTTTCATGTGTTATGCTAAAGAACGTGTTGACTGAGAGGTAGATTACAAGTCAAAATGTTTTAAATACTGATTAATTTCATTAAAAGACCAAATGTTTCACTTAGATCTAAACGTATCATCAGAAGTTGCCAGAATTTTGTGTTGTCTCTATCTGCATTTTAAAATTGAAATGACACCTGTTGCATTTCATGAATTACACACAGTTTAAGCTAGTTGTTTTTTTTTTATGTTTATAACTTAGATGGCCTGAAGTTGATTAAATTACCAGTGTTTTTTCATAGTTGGGTGGACTATTCACTTAAAGCAATTTTATAATTATGCAAGTAAAATAGTGCAATTAAGTGATATAAGAGATGAACTCTTACCTTCTGACACTCCGTGTCACTAAAGCTCAGACCAAAGTAGTCCTTCTCCAACAGGTTGAGATGTTCACACACCATATCCAGTAACACTTGTCCTTTACAGAGCTTCTGTTTTGATTGATGAGCAGAGAAAGAGCACAAAGGAAAAGAGATTGATTAAGTGTTGGTCGTTGTAGAAAATGCCCCTACCATTTTTAATCAAAGTCAGGAGGGTCACTTTGTCATTACTAGGGCATAGTATCTTTTCCTTGAGTAAATAATAATACCTGGGTTTTTATCAAGTCATGGAAAGATGTCTTGGAGATTTAGTAAACATCATATTTGATAGCCAGGGTCATATAGATGTTGATTTGAAATGTTTGCGCTATGAATATTTTTAAGTATGAAAAGATTTATGACTTTTGACAATATGTAAAATACTCTAAGTCTCTGATGTCCCCAGAATGTGTCAATTCAAAATACTCCACAGATCCATTTATTTGTGCATTTTCAAAGTCCAAGTTTACATTCTTTAAGTGTGAGCAAAAACACACTGTTTTGTATGTGTATTTTTAAATGCAAATTAGCTTTCTGAAGAGGGCGGTGCCTTTATTGCTCATGCTTCAGACAGTCAGGGATCAACAAGACTGTACCGCATAACATTTAGAAATCATCACAAAAATAACACATTTATACATGTATTAATTGTGTAGGTGAGATTTCAAATTGCCATTTGTACCTTTTCTTTTAGCATAAGTCCACCAGAGGCTGCTGTCTCCTGACTGACTGATAGACTGACCAATCCCCCCACCCACTCCCTTTTCTTATCCCAACCGATAGTGATTTTAAAAGCACAGATTGACCAGCACCCACCCACTTTCCTAATCTCAATTCACAGTGTTTTGAAAAGCAATTCAGAAAGAGAAAACACAGCGTAGCAGCCTGATTTTTTACCATGTTTTCAGATTTTACCACATTCTCACCCTGTAATTTATTTGTTTTATATTTTGGCTTTTATTTTTGTCTTACCTGCTTTCTGGAACCGTTCTTTGCCAGACTTGAACTACATTGAACAACATTGAACAATCTCAAATTCTCTGACGTATGCCATGAGCCACTGGACAAACTAACAACAGCCATTAACACAGAGGTAAGCAGTTATCTGGTAATTGCGAAAAGGAATGGCATCACACTGCCCTGAAGCGTTCAATTTAAATATGAAATGCAGCCATACATTCCTCTGGCTACATAAATCTCAATCTTTAGAAATGTATATAGGGCTATATTTTCAGGATGAGCCTGTGTTGCAACATATAATATGCGATTTGTGCAGTAAGTGCAGTAAACTTGTATTTTATACCGGATATTTGTTAGACATACTTTTTTGTGCAAAATAGTAGCAGTTCATTCTACTGTATATCTTGTTCACATAAAGTATAGGATGAGTAAAAACTGGATTTTAGCATCTCAAAAGTACAATAATGGTTCCATTACAGTAAAAATTTAAAAATTACAAATATTTGAAGATTCTAATATGAACTTGAAAGATCTGTCTGAAATTTTCATCAAAGATTTGTTTATGTTGAGATATTTCACTTTAAAGATGAGGAAAAGGACTTACTATTTGCAATAAAAATGATATTACTGAACATACACACATGAGCCTGATAAAAATGCTAATTTTAGAGGAGAATTTCAGATGGCATTTATAGATGTTTGCATCTAAACACTGATTATGTTGAAACTACATGTTATTACTGCAAAAAATTGAAAAGTGTCATGAATTCAATAATTTACTCTCTCGTTGCGGTGATTTCCCACATTTCATAAGTAATTTCAAGAAGTTTAACATATATGATGTGTAAATCAATTACAATATAAAATAATATTATAATTACAAAGCATGCACTGGCAATATTTTGTGATGACTAGTTATTTAATGTGGAAGAAACAAGTGTAACCAATTTCCTATATAAACATTACTTTATTGCACTTGATACTCATTTGTTTTATTTGACCCCCCATTTGGAAGGTCAAATAAAGTGCTTTTGTTTTCATCAAAAAACAGAGCATCTCTACGACATGGCTGCTTCAACACTAACACTTAATTTAAGCTGCATTATGCAAATATTTCCACATTGTGACTTGGATACGTGAGGGAGAATTTGATTGAATTTGAACTGTTTACAGCAGAGCTTCTGTTTTAGAAAGAACAAAAATCATTTTGTTGACAACTTTGTGTAATTTTGCTGATTTTATACACATACTGTACAAACAGCTATAACACACTAAATAAAAAACACTTCATGTGACCTCTTTAAGCTAATATGTAGAAAGTAAATGATCCGTTTAGTTTCAGTCCATTTGCTGCATCAGTAATGAGGTGAATGTAGAGCATAAATCAAGTCAGGTTCAATTTAGTTTTTACAACGGGTTTGAGGATATGCATTGTTTCACAGCAGCTTTAGAGAAAGTGATGTACATTATCTAAGCCATTCATATCATATAGTACACGGGTCTTCCTGATTCCTGATTGACAAAATCAAGTCCCGATTTATTTTTTCTTCTTGTTCGAAAAAGCGATTTTTCTTGCTTTCTACAGAATTGGTGCAAAACCACTATCTAATATTCATAATACACAATTAAAAATACAGTATTTGAGTTTTAAAAGCTTAGATGTTGATTAATATCCTTCTACTATCTACAGAGATCCAATTACACTCACCAGCCACTTTATTAGGTACACCTAACTAGTTCCAAGTTGGACCCCCTTTGGCCTTCAGAACTGCCTTAATTCTTCGCGGCATAGGTTCAACAAGGTACTGTAAATATTTCTCAGAGATTTTGGTGTTTCTGCTGCTGCAGATTTGTCGGCTGCACATCAATGATGCGAATATCCCATTTCAACATATCTCAAAGGTGTTCTATTGGATTGAGATCTGGTGACTATGGAGGCCATTTGATTACAGTGAACTCATTGTCATGTTCAAGAAACCAGTCTGAGATGTTTTGCGCTTTTTGACATGGTGCGTTATTCTGCTAGAAGTAGCGTTCTGAAGATGGGTACACTGTGGTCATAAAGAGATGGACATGGTCAGCAACAATACTCAGGTGGGTTGTGGCGTTGCTCAATTGGTACTAATGGGCCCAATGACAAGAAATTATCCTCCCCACTATTACACCACCAGCAGCAGTCTGAACTGTGGATGCATTATTCCATGTTGTTGATGCCAAATTCTGACCCTACCATTCGAATGTCGCAGCAGAAATCGAGACTTATCAGACCAGGCAACGTTTTTCCAATCTTCTATTGTTCAATTTTGGTAAGTCTGTGCAAATTGTAGCCTCAGTTTCCAATTCTTAGCTGACAGGAGTGGCACCCAGTGTGATCTTCTGCTCATCTAGCCCATCCGCCTCAAGGTTGTATGTGTTGTGCATTCAGAGGTGCTTTTCTGCGTACCTCAGTTGTAGCGAGTTATTATTTGAGTTACTGTTGCTACAGAACTGCAGCAGATTGTCTTGACCATGTCTACATGCCTAAATGCATTAAGTTGCTGCCATGTGATTGGCTGATTATAAATATGTGTTAACGATAATTTGGACTTTTGTACCTAATGAGTGTACCTAGTTAGTGTATTTTAAAGATTAGAAAGTTGAATATAAATAAAATCATTATATATTAAAACTCTCAATTGGGAGCTATGGTGGCTGTTCCAAACACTAACACCTAAATTTCCTAAATTAAAAATCACAAAAGTTGTGAAAATGATATAAAAAATGCATTTTATTTTCTCATTTCATTTTAGAAATATATTTTTGGTCATTTTTAAAAATTCAAGTAAAAAAAATCATATTTTAGATTTTATTTTTAAAGAATGAAATTAATTTATTAAAGTTTTCGTGTCACTATGCCAAAACTGTGTATTTCTTAGTTGATAGGCTGAGGCTGGTTTTAGCCACACCCTACTTTTTAATCAGGAATTAATCCTGTGTCTTTCTTTTTCATGGCATGTACTGTAGATTGGTCCAGTCATTTTGAGGTAAAGGTGGTCAAATTCTGAAAATCTGTTTATAGCTATAAGGAATGTCACTACCGAATATATTATTTCTGCAAAACACATTGTATTTTTAAGATGTTTACAACATATATACACATCACTTTATTGAAGAAAACACTATGGCAGCTTCCATTTTATCAAGGCTAAGCATCTGTGCATCTTTCCAACCACACCCAGCCATTCTGCACAAAAGAGTGGCATATGCAACACGCTTGAGACACTGGCACTGGCTTTGCCTTTCTACAGAAATACTGAGCACTCGCCGCCCAGGGAGCCTGTTACCCCGCCGCGACAGGGATACAGCGCAGCTGTTTCCATGGCAACAGAAGTGATGAGGTTGTGTGTGTGCGCGAGTGTGTGCGTTGTCTCCCTGGCCTCTCATGGCTAAACACAGGGTTTTTTTTTTTTAAGAGGGAGAGAGAAAAAGAGAGTGGGTGTGCTACCATAAAAAGGCTTCTTAAGTTAGTCAGTCACCCCTTAATTACAGCAAAGCATTATTTTTGTATATAAAGGCAATTTAGTAGTATTTGGCTCAACATATGCACTTGAAGGATTGACTTTTGGTGGATCTCTGGGTAAAGAAAAGCATTGTGAGTTCTGGCTTACAGTTGTACTTGTTGCCATTGTGATTGTAGGTGGTTTTGTACTTTCACAGCTTGCATCCATCAGCAAGGCTTAAATAAAAAGTTGCTCTAGAGTTTCCAGAGACAAAAGATTTCATGAGTGATGATGCGATTGAAAGAATTGATGAAATATTCATTAACATTACTTTGGATATATTAGGCCCTTGAGATATTCTTCTTTTGATCAACTAAAGAAAAAATCCATTGTTCCGGCAGAGCCATTAGACGTTTCAGTTCAGCCATACTAATACACTGTATGAATTTCTTTCACCTCACGAACAGAAGAGGAGATGCTGATCTGTCGGCTGCTTTTATTTCCTTAAAATGAATGTGGATGTCCACAATAGTGGAAAATCCATCATCTGGGGCATACAGACTGGCCTGGCATTGATCAAGAGATCTGATCTGTGAAATTTTGGAAAGACGGTACAATTCCAAAATGGAAAAA